TGATGTGTTTGCGGTTGGGCCGAGAAGAGTCGTTTTGAATTTTGGATATTTGGTTTTTGGGATAAACAAAGCAATAAAAATGGGTTCAAAATGGGTCCTGCAGCGAGTTCGGAAACTTTCGATCGACTATAAGCGTAAGCCCAAGCGTAAGCTGGAATGCCGGCTAAGCGTAAGCCTAAGCCAAACCCAGAGCCGAAGCCTATGACCAGTTTTGAATTTAAGCCAAGCCTAAATGGATTCCATCCATTGCTTATACCCTTCACCTAGACCCATTCCCCAAACCCGCCAACCCGTCGGGGTTTCCCCCCGCGTTACCGCAAAAATATTTTGACTCCCCGGCTCACCCAGCTCGAGAAGGGTGGCCGTAACGGACCCTCAGCTATTAACAAGATTCCCCATCGAGTAAACACACGCCCAAAAATCCGCCCTGACGGACCTATTTTTGACCAGAAAATTCAATTTAAATGGGCAACCGGTTGCGTTGACCGAATATTTGGACCAAAAAAAGTATATATTGGGAACCACAGCCAAAATTGTCGCGACCTGTTGATAAAACTGCCTCCGCATTCCAATAAGTGACTGGTTCCGGTGGGCTCCATGTCGACATGAAAACATAAGCTCCCAGAAAAGCGCTGCGTCAGTTTTGACAAGCAGACGCAGTTGCGCGGGTATGGGGAAGAATGGGGAAAATATTTGTTCGCCGAAGAATGGCGGGAGAATCGATATGACGAGGGGTTATAGTCTATAATGTGTTGGAATTTGGTTTTAATGGACCATTGGAGTCACCCGGGTGCTGAAGTCGTAGAATCAAGCTTGGTGGAAACGGGTTTACCCACCTCCATTTCAAGCGGTAACTTTCAAGGTCAAAAACTTTTTGTGTGATGTCAGTGTCTCTTCAAAACCAAATGAATGCTTTTTAAAGGGACGGTTAGGGCTATTTTCTACAGCAAATTTTGAATAAAAGGAAGACCGGCAGATCTATACCTTTTTGTATCTTGAAAAGCGTGATTTTCCGCCTTCACCGTGAACATTCGACCCCAATTTTTCCCATTAAACGATCTATGCCATAAGCTCTCTGCGACCCGCAATTATACAAAAAAACAGAACCCTTACTGCTCGGTTAATTTTTTAGGCACCCAGTAGTAAACAGAGGGGTTGGGGGGGTAGGCACGACGACAACAACTGCCCTAATTGGTCGCAACGGTTACGAAATCCGGTAGTTTTTAACTGGCTTTCAAACTGAAAATTCAGTAGCAGACGCCGGTCAATGGTTTAAGCATTCATAGGCGACTGTTGCATGCTAAGTAAAACCCAAGATACAGAGCGATGGCAGAAAACGAGGGAGAGAGAGAGAGACAGAGACAGAGATAGAGAGAGAAAGAGAGAGAGAGAGGGGAGCGAGAGTGATATAGATAGCGAAATAGAGATAGAGATAGAAAACTTTTCGATATCTGTAAAACCACAGCTCCAGGTTCAAAGACCGGGTTGCAAGCTCAGTTGACAACTTTTCCCCTAGCGTTCGATGTGCCATAAATATCCGACAGCTTCTCCTGCTCCAAACTTCCATCATCTATCTCACTAACTCTCTCTCTCACCCCCAATTCCCATCTCGTCTCGTTTTTGCTTATTCTGCACCACTGGGGTAAACAGCTGAGCGGAGCCGGGTGGGACGAGAGAGTAGGCAAATACGAGAGAGCACAGAGGCTCTCCGATGCCTTGAAGACTAGAAAAGTGCACGTGCCCTCAGTTGTTGTCCTCGGCGGGCCCTGTTTTCGCCCTTTCTCTTTTAGCTTTGTGCGTCTTTCTGCCTTTTCCCGATTCTCCCATTTGCTTGTCTGCCCCACCCCCATGCAGTCGGGCGGGCCGTGGGCCTGGAATATGCCATTCGCCCAGTGGAACCGTGGGTCCAGTGTGGCTGACCGGTTTTTGGGGGGTTTTGTTATTGGTACGATTTTGGACTGCAATCTTTATCTTTTTTTATACTTTGCTCTGTTTGACCTTAACCCCCCCCCCCCCCCCCCCGGGGGGGGGGGGGCCCCGGGGGGGGGGCGGGCCCTTTCCTCCCCCCCCCAACTCCCCCCCTCTGAGCAAGAGCTTTTCCAGATCCAGAATATCTGTTGCTCTTTCTCTCTCTTTCTTCTCTCGCTCGCTCTCTCTTGCTCGTTCTTCCAAACCCTATTCTTCGCTGGAGCCTATTCATAAGAGAGGCAGAGGCAGAGAAAGAGAGACAGCGTGCCAGCGAGGTATAGTGAGAGAGCAACATACCTTAAATCTAATCCTTATTTCATTATTTTTTGTCTCAAGGTTTTTTTGAGCTTCGAACCTCCCTGAATCGCCTTATTTTTCCCTAGTTCCTTTTTCTTATTTTCCACTTTTCGCCTCGACCACTAATCCTTGCCCCTGATAATCCCTATTTTGCACCTCCACCAACGCGTCTGTAGACCTGTTCTGTAGTCCCAAATTAAAACTACCGTCGCTGAGAACGGTGTCCTCCTTAATATTCCATTCCGTTGCCAGCCTCTCCTTGCCCGTCAAATGAACTCTTTGTTTTTCGGTCGCGAATATTTACGCGATGGCCCTTTCCGAGTAAATGCCCCTCCTCGTTGACGGAATTCCGGAGACCCGAAGGGAAAATCCGTTTTCCTATTCATTTCCCTTATTTTTCTCTTGAAATTCGGCTCAGAATTGAACCAGACTTCTTATGAATCACCGTTTGGTACCGACCGCTTTTTGACAGACTTTTTATATTCTTTTACATATTTTTTTTAAACATTTTTATTTTTGACTACAGTATACTCTTCAAAAAGCTGTTTTTTCAAAAGCGGCCATCGTTGAAGCACTCCAAAAAATTCCCTCGCTGACAAACAGCTTCTCCCCTCCCTCAGCCGTGTTGTTTTGACCAGACGGGGGGGCCGTTCGCTCGCTGGCGCATCGATTCGTCATTTCGAAACATTTTTGGGGGGCGGGAAATTTGCTACCCGAGAGTAGAGTTTGTTTGTCTAGTTTTTGCAGGTGTAGTATTTTTCCAAGTTTTTAGATGGCCTGAGAAGGTTTGGAAGATTTGAAAATGCCCAAAATTTCACAAGAATAAACGAAAATGAAAAATATGTGAATTTTTCGTCCCGTCTACCGCTCAGTCTTTTAAATATGCCCATGATCCTATGAAGCGCGTTTTTAAGTTGTTCTAGTTGAATAATACGCTAGACAAGAAACAAAGTATCATAAAAGGATGCAAATTTCGAACATTTCGAATAGATTTTTGATCGATTTCTAGCCGGAGAATTTGTTTATTCAACAGATATTCAAATTACAAACCCTTTGTCGATTCAGAATCCAAAAATTGGCACTACCCCAAAACCCACTACCCCCCTTGCCGGACCACCGAATTTTTATGTGAATCCGGAATGGCCCGACCCGACCCTCCGTACGGGGGTTCGTTTCTACACAAAGGTCAATCGGTGCCGATGGATGCCCTTCGAATAGGATGCGCCGTTCCCCGAAAAAAGAATGGGAACACACAAGGGCCCGATTCACTGCGCCTCGATCGGCACATGTGCAAATGGGCCGCGCGCGGCGTTTGGCACCTGGCCAAAATCGGGCAGTTCCCACCAGTATTCCGTATTTTACGCCGGTGTTACGAAACACGCCGTGGATCGGAGCCTACTGTAGTTTTTGGGGCGAACTGCTAGTTTTGAGCAATATAAATCGAAAAACCAAAGCCCCAGCCTAAGCCCAAGCCTAAGCCCATGGTTAAACCGACGCCTAAGTCGTAGATTAAGCCTAAGCCTAACCTAAACGAAGCCTAATGAGCCTAAGCCTGAAACCTAAGCCTAATAGTAAGCTTGAAAAACTAGTTTTGAAGCTGACACCTTCCATTTCCCACAATTTTCCCAGCCGCTCCTCATCAACCACTTTCTGCCCACACAATTCCCAAGGACCACCCCCTGCGAAACCGAAGCCCGTTTCCGAAATCGTTTCCTGACCCCCCTGGCTTTGTTTCGTTCCTCTCTTGCTCCCTTCTCCCCCGCCTCCATTTGGTGGGTGTTCCAAATTAATGGCCCTCCTCCGTCCTCGTCGCTTGTGTGAATGGCCGGTACAGGCCAGTGCCAGCCGGACCGTCCCGAGGAATGACTCGTTGCTCCGCCGGCCGCTCTTTGTGAGGCCGGGGGTTCGTTCTTGCCTGCATGCTGGGCCTTAGCTGTCCGCCACCAGCTGCGGTGCCGAGGCCGTTCGTTTCTGGGTTGGATTGGAACGTTTTTTTTTGGCAGGATTTGGACTCATTGGTCCGGGATTTAGACCTTAAAATTTGTTTTTCAAATATCTTTTAGTTTTTTCCTATGGACTATACCCGATTGCAGTATCAGTTTCTGCTTAATTTTCTACAACTTAGGATCGAATTTAGGCTATTTAAATTATTTAGCTTATCATAACAATTATCGAACTGAAGCCACATGTTTTCTATCTTTGCCTAGTACGTTACGCTCCGTTTCCGGGGAATATTTACGCATATTACCTACCGTCTACCGACCTTTCGTGTGAACGCCTAAACCGGAGCCCATTATCAGCGGCCCCTTTAATCCATCCCCGCACCCGCCTCTATTTTTCAGTTCGTGATTCGCCCTACTCGGTCGCGTCGAGACCTCAAAACAAGGGCTACCGTACCCCCCGTGCAGGGTTGTGTGAGAGAAAAGGGGAACTGAAAAACATTTTTGTTTCTTTCTCTGATTTTCGCGCTATCTCTCTCTCCCACTCGCTCTCTCTCTCTCTCTCCTCTCTCTCGCTGAAGATGACGTCGTGATTGCGTGTATTCTCGCTTCTCTAATATCATCATCGATCTGCTGTAGACGATCCATTTTCTAGCCTACAAAGTCAACCCGCTGACGACAATTCTGAATCTTCCCCATCGACTGATAAGCTGAAACTTCGTGGAAGCCAAATTTTGGAAAATCGAACCCTAAACCCTGTCCCATCCACCGTACCCCGCGGATCGCGTGGCGAGGATGACGGAAGTGAACAGCTACCCCTCACAGCATCACATGTTTAACTGGAATCTGATCGACAAGATGAGCCCGAAAATGAGCCCGACGGTAGTGTAGGGTGTCGGAAAAACTAGCAGATAAATTTGGGATTGGGAGTGGAGGACTTGAAAGGTGCCAAAAATAGGGGGTTTGACCAGAAAACGCCTCAACACCCCCGCAAAAACCAAATTAGAAGAAAGTGGATGATTTTTAAAGGGCTCATTAACCCAAACTTTTTCAGGCCCCAATGAGCACCCCCGATGACCCGGTGATCCACAACAGTCCGCCATCGCTGCGCGGACTTTCTCAGCAAGGACAGCAGCAACTCCAGCAAGGAGGTGAGCAGGGCTTCTTCGAGAAATGGTCTAGGTTTCAGTCGATGCTCCAGATTTAACCCTCCCTTTTAGCGCGATGAAAAAATTCCTTGGGGAAATTCGGAGCTATCACAATTCCTGTTCACACTTTCCAGCCCGTTTAAAATCCTGTACATCCCAAAAACTCACTTTTCTCTCGATCCCCTCCATCTAGGGAGGGGGGTTGTCCCGCTCCCCTTTGCAGACTCCCCGAGCCCTTCCGTGTTACATTCTGGGGCCCGCGTCCGGTGCGGGCGGCACACGGGCAAAATATTTCTCGAGTTCTGCGCCCGTCTTTTTTTGTCTTTTCTGCGTCTTCTGTCTGTCTGTCTCTCTGTCTGTCTGTCTCGCTGTCTGTATGTCTGTCACGGGGCCCTGGAGCCGGAGCGCAACCGGTAAACAAAACATTGATCGCATAGATAGCGGTGTTAGAGAGCAAAAATGACGATTTTGAGATAAGAAAAACAGGATTTTTGTCGGAATACGATAGTTTATCAGGAATTCTCTAGTTTTGTTTTGCTTGTGCATTAATAGACGGTCAAATTCAGTCTGGAGAGAGAGAGAGAGAGAGAGAGAGAGATAGAGAGAGAGCGAGAGAGCCATCGAGAGAGCCATCACCATAAAGTAAACGAGAGATCACCAGCTCCCCTCGCCATTTTTTGGAGGCTTGTTATTGCGTGTGTGCTGCGTCTGGGTATGTGCGTGTGGTCTGTTTGTATCTATCTCCCCCCTCTTCCCCACCCGTGTATAGACACATCGCGGACTCGCCGCCGCCCCGGGGACAACACCCTCCTTTTGACAAGGTGTGGAGTGTGTGCGTCCTAAGCGGCCCGCGCGAAGCGCATGTGGGGCCTCGGCGGCCCGAGCCAACATTCGCACCTGCATCAAGATTTTCTGGCTTCTTCAGGCTATGGTAATACGGTGTCGCAGTCGGAGAGCCGCACGCCGAGCTGTGATTCGCCGGGAGCGGAAGGGAGCGCTGATGTAAGTTTTCTTTGAAATCTAGGAGTTTAATGATATTGTCGGAGCAAAGCCTAGGGTTTGCTGGGTTAGGCTTAGGTTTAGACATAGGCATAGGCTTATGCTGAGGCTTGGGCTTAGGCTTAGGCTTAGCCTTGGCTTAAGCTGTATCTTTTACTACAAATTACCGTATTTTTTATTACCTATTTTGCAGGAGCGCAACCGCCGTTCAAAGACTTGCCGCGTCTGCGGAGACCATGCTACCGGCTACAACTTTAACGTCATCACCTGCGAGTCGTGCAAGGCGTTTTTCCGACGCAATGCGCTCCGCCCAAAGGTGAGGAGTTTGATAGGGTTATACACACGCATTAATGGAAGTTGGCAGTTCAAAATGTCACTAGTTTGACTATTAATGCTCAAAACAACCCGCCCAACTTCCCAATCCCTTTAATCCTCAGGTTCAGGAGTTCAAATGCCCGTACTCGGAGGACTGCGAGATCAACCCGGTGAGCCGGCGATTCTGCCAGAAATGCCGACTCCGGAAGTGCTTTACGGTATCTTGACGGCTTGTCGAAAGCAATGAAATTCTTAGGTTGGCATGAAGAAAGAGTGGATCCTGAATGAGGAGCAGCTTCGTCGGAGAAAGAACTCGCGTCTCAACCACACGGGGAGCCAGAAGAGCATGAAGTGCGGCTCGCCGACGCACAGTTTTGGTGGGGTCATGTCGCCGCCGAAGCCGATGACGATCGTTTCGCCCGAGCAGGTTAGTGGTTTTTAGGGATTTAAAGGACTTGTTAAGGCAAGTAAGACTTTTGATCTCCGCTGACTTCTTAGTGGGTCATTGTATCTAGGTGGCCGGAATGTCCCATATCAGTTAATGCAATGAAAAATCAATCGGTGCGTTGCGTGTCGCGGCAGTTCTAAAATCCATAGACTTTTCATGCCTTGTCAATCCCTATAAAACACCTTGAACCAAATACATTGAATATTTTATGCTTTTCAGCTGCAATTCGCCACCCCGCAGAACCGGCTCGAGATGACGCCGCCCATGATCAGCCCCAGCTCCACCTCAGTGAGTTTTTTAACGTCAGATGCAATTTTAAAGGGCCAGAACCAGGGAATGCTTCCTCTCAATGTAAAAATATATATACCTTAAGTATGCTAGGCTAGAAATTGCGTTTCAGTACGTGGTCTCCCCGCCGGGTTCGCTCTCCGGCACGCCCGTGTCCCCTCCGTCCACCGGAATTCTTACCCCGACCACCAACGCGGTGAATGATGTGAGTATTGTAGCGGAAATGGCTGTCAACTTCTGGCTAGCATCGATGAAAAAGAACGCTCGTATTTCAAATTTTGTTTCCCTGGATCGGCTACAAAAATTTTTGGTACCATATTTTTGTCGAGATGGACCGGGTGACGGTAGTTTCGGCTGCATTTCGTCTACCGGTAACTCACCATTTTTGTAGAACGTTTTTTGGAGTGTACTGTATTTCGGAAAAATTTTTACAGCCTTAGCACTTTTTGCGTCCTCAAATGACAGCCGATTTTTAAAGCTCTAAGGATATCAGAATCTCGGCTGTACTGCTGTTAATTCAATCCGCTTTTTTTTTCAAAGTAATCCAAAATCCAAGAATCCAAAGCCCAAATCCACAGTCTACATCCCCCGTTGCGAAAGGTTGTTTACCGGGTGCACGTCGCGTGCGCCGTTCCCCCAGCATCGATTCCGCGGGGGAACCCCCGGGTGGTGTTCCGTTTTTTGCCGTGTTTTTGAGTGGTCGTCCGGCCCGGGTCGGCTAGACGAACGTGTACACAGCCCAGGGGTCGGCGACCCCAAAAAAAATTCGGGCGGGGGGGACGCGCTAGAGTGGTGTGGCTCGGGGCAAAAAACGTTCTATGCCGATGGGAATGGGAATGCCACATCAAAAGGACACCGGTACTTTTAAACCGGAAAAATGCATGCAAATTGGGTGAGGTGGAATTTTAATTTTTGTTTTGTGGAAATTCGGGGCCGGATACTGTAGCAGCATCTGCAGCGTCAAAATATTCTAAAAATAATTTTGATTTTTAAATTTTCCGAAAAAATCAAATCATTAATCCTTGCATATTTCATCTCTTTCAGTACGAGCCGAACCTGCTGCTCCAACAGCGCCTCGCCCAGCAGCGCCTCAGCAGCCTGAGCATGAACACGCCATCCCCGGTGAATATGCCAACCACCGTGACGAGCCCGATGGGGATGGGCACGAATACCCGGATGGACCCAGTGCGTAGTAACCAGGTAGCTTTAGTGTTAGAACTCACCCTGATTAGTAACTTCTTGCACATTGCTTCTTCTTTACCCGATTTTAGCAGTACACAGTGCACCGCTTCCGAATTTTTGGTTTTATTTAGGGTTCGGGGGGCTGGAAATAGAGTGCGGCTTATTCAAATCAAATCGCGACTCAAACCGGTTTGGTTTGAATAAGGATCCGTTATTCAAACCAAACCGACCAGGTTTGAGTTGGTTTGAATTGGTTTGAACAACAGGCAAATCAGCATGTTAATCGATCTGATGGATGCTAATCGGCTAAGATTTCGAGGCATCCCTTCCAAAACCTTGCATGACCATTATAATGATGAAATTGGCTTAGTTTACAGAGTTTACACACTTTTTAACCATAGGCTTGGCTATCACGACCGTTCACAATCATCCGAATGGTCGTGATAACCTTGGCAGGGCTGCCAGAAAAAAATGTCTCGGAATAGTCCGCCAACCCCTAAAACCTGTCAGGAATGCTGCCGAACGACCCTAAAGTGAACCGCCCATAGATTGGTGCCAAAACGCAAAAATAGTGCAGAAAGCAGGCTGTTTTGGAGAATGGTTCTTATTCAAACCTTGTTCAAATTACTCAAACCGGTTTGGTTTGGTTTGAGTTGGGAATCCTTATTCAAACCGGGTTTGGTTTGAATAAGGATCCCGTATTCAAATCAAACCGGTTTGATTTGAATAACGGAAATCTTATTCAAACCCGGTTTGAATAAGCCGCACTCTAGCTGGAAATGGCCTTAGAAATTGCCCTAAAATTAGCATAAAATTATCTGAATTTTAAGTTTATTACAGTCAACATAAATTATTCTCAACTCAATTTTGCAAATCCTGAACAGCCTTTAAATAAAAATTTTACAATTCAAATTTTAACCAATTCACCTGAATTTTGCCAAAATATGCAATTTTTTAGTGTTTTGTGACTTTTGTAGAGGCAGGAAAACAATAGTACAAATTATTTTAGACTGAATTATGCAAATGAGGCGGATTACCGTAGCCGTCGCAATGAAAACACAAGTTATTCCCATTTTTTGACGACCTTTTTCCACAATTTCCAGCCGTCCGACCCGATTTTAATTATTTTCCGCAAACCTGCACCTTTTATTAGAGGTGGTGGTGATTCGACAAATTCCCTTATGCTCCGAGTTACACCAGCGTCGCTCTCGTATCGTGAATATCTGTTGAAAATGCGGGAGCTAGTCAGTAATACCTCAATTTTTAAGATCACCCTCTCGATGGAGGAGTACTCGCAACTGCTCTTGGCTGCCAAGGGAAATGGCGACGTTCAGACGCCACCAGCCTCGATGGATGAGCCACCAGCAAAGAGGTAAGGTGAAGTTTGTAGTATAAAAACCTGCACTTCGATATTTTGCACTGATCTCTTGTTAATGCTTACGTTATGATAATTTTTTCAGAGGCAGCTTTGGGCAGGGAATGATGGCAAAGCCTTATATCGCTCCGATGGCTCCGGTTACGACAATGCCGATGCCAGGTAAGAATTAGAGACGAGGGCGAGAGAGGCAAATAGAGAGAGGGAGCGTGAGAGAGAGAGAGAGAGAGAGAAAGAGAGAAAGAGAGCCAATCGGCACAGCTCCAAAAGGGCAAAATTTTAGCGCAGAATAGGGGGCCATAGCAGGTGCAAAACTCGAATTGCGAATTTGGCCAGCACCGGTAATTTCCAGATTCCTATTACGATTTCTGGGCTTCTAAAACCATAACTTTACTGCTGTTTGAACACAAACTCCCATATATAAATTTCCCATAACATTTCGCATTTGGCTTATCACAATGACGAGCAGCCTTAAACAGCCGGCATTTCGAAGAAAACCTCTAATTCGCCTGCTCTTCCAGTGATCCAACCCGGCTTCCCCGTCCCCAACGAGGCCACCCCACCAATGAGCAGCTACCAGGAGCGCATGAGCAACTACTTTGATCAGACGATCATCGATGCCCTGAACGTCGACAGCCCTGATGGCCCATCAGCCTCTGGTGCCATGCAGCCCGATGGTGTAGGTTTTACGATTTGCACGCTGACACCGATGAACGAGACAAAAGTAGGCTACTGAACTTTCTAGAATTGATTGTAGCCCACAAGTTTTTGCTCAAAATACATATTCTTATTGTTTTTCAGTGTGATCTGAACCGCTCGCTGCCCCGCGCCAACTACCAGCTCAACATTGCGGAGCTGCGCGAGTTGGACATGGTCAGGAGCGCATTTTCGGGGATGAACGAGCCGATTGACCATGGCAAGCCGATGCAGACGTTCATGAAGAATGATGTGAGTGGCATGGCATCGAGTTGAAGGCGTTCAGAAAAAATTTGACCTCGCTAGCTCCTAGTTTTTTTGTCATCTTCAACATCTTCAAGACGTTCACTTATAGCTCACATCATTCCACCAAAAAGTTATTATTTTCAGAAAAACCCCACTGACATCATGAACATCATGGATATTGCCATGCGGCGCATCGTCAAGATGTCGAAGAAGCTGCCCGCCTTCAACGAGATCAGCCAGGACGGAAAATTCGCGTTGCTCAAGAGCGGCATGGTGGAGATGTTGACCGTGCGTGGGGTCCGGCGATACGATGATAGGTCGAATTCGTGGAGCACGCCGTCGCTGTCGACGGAGTACAAGGTAGGCCGTCAAAACATTCGGTGATGGATTTGACTTTACAAGAATTTTAAAAGCAGCTCTTAATCACTCGTTGCTAGGTTCCCCTTGGAATGTTCGATCGCCTGAAGGAGGGCGTCTGTGAGCTCCAGAAAGAGCGTTTCGTGTCGCTCTACAAATTCTTCCACGAGGACCTGCGCCAGAACGAGCTTGCCCTGGACTTGTTGATGTTGATGGTGCTCTTTACGTAAGTTCTTACTAGCTTTAATTTATCTAAAATCCATTTATAGGCCGCGTCCAACCATCAAAAACCCGCGCGACCTCCAGCTCATCCAGCGCCAGCATAGCGATTATGCCGCCTTGCTAAACCGGTGAGTAAAAATAGTTCTAGTGGTAAATGTTGGGAGCATTCTATTTTTGAACCAATTTAACTCGTTGTTCAGCTACCTCGAGTCGATCTACGGCGACGACGCGCGCAGCTTCAATGACCAGATCCCGCGCATCATGGAAAAGCTGCGGCTTGCCGCCCAGAATACGGCAGCCCTCTTCACCGGCAAGGTCAACAAAGGTGTGTTTTTGAGCTTACGCTTTGTTAGACCTAAATCTAAGCATCGGCTTAAGCCTAATGCCCAGCCTAAGCCTGAGACTAAGTCTAAGCCTAAGCATAAGCCTAAGTCTAAGCCTATGCCGAAATTATTTTTCCTTTTCAGACGATGCCGAGCCACTGGCCAAGGAATTCTTCTGCAACGACAGTTAACCCGGCGGCCGACCGTACTACGGAGCGTTACGGCATTTCCTGGCTTCCGCTTGATTCCTCTAGGCTACTCCTTACGTCCTTTTTATACCACTAGTATCTTAGCTTCCTCGTCTTTTGGGCTTCTTTTGATCGTTTTGTTCCGTGTAGACGTTCGTATTTTTGTCGGAAGTTGGATGAAGCGGAATAACTTTATTAAGGTGACAAATACAAGAAAATTTTTTTGATGCTTCTCCCAATTTCCGACCTCTTCTCTGGTTTCCCCCCATCCTCCAAAAAAGCTAACCTCAGCCCCTGTCCCTTCCGTTTGACTGTGGCATTTCTTCCCGGTACCGTAATCTCATGGGGCCGGTCAGTTTTTCATTTTTTTGCCTATTTCCCCCTGGTCGACCCCCGGAACTCCATTATAAACTACCTCAAAAAGATGACCCCGACTACCTGAGCATTTTTCGATTTTTCGACGTTTCGTGTCTTTTGCTTTTCCACTCTACCCCGCAAAATATCGACATTACCTCACACTGCTTGGCTTCATCCTCTTGAAACCGAGCAAAACAATAATAACATCCTCACAAATTCAAATTACAACTTTTCGATACCTCTACATCCTTTTTTCGCCCTTGTTCGATGTTTTTCGATATTTATCGATTTCCCTGGCCCCACAAAAACCTGGCCGGCTGCCGAGTTTTTTATTTGCTTCCCGATCCCTTTTCGCTACCCCGGTTTCTTGCCCGTCTGGTTAAAAACTGTTTTTATCGCTTTTTCTCGGTGTTTTACATTTTCTAAAAACCCTGAATTCCCTGTGACAGCAATTAGTGCAGACCCCAACCCGAAAACTGGTCCCGCCCCGATCATTCATCCAATCTTTTTCTGATATCGAGTCAACCCCTGGATTTTTTAAGTTTTGTGTTTTTATTTGGGTTTTTCGAGGTTTTTAGATACTTAAAACTAGCGTGAAAATAAGGTCAAACTGTTTAGGAACCTCCAAAATCCGATTTTTTTTTCATTTCCGGATCTCCCGGCCTCCGTTTGAATTGTTTGTGATTGATTTAGCTAGCAAAAATTGCAACCCCTCGAAGTACCACAATGTTGAAAATTACACCCGAATTTTTCTTGATCGTGTGGAATAAATTTTTTGGTTAGAACAGCGGTCTATAATGCACTGCAAAAAAATGACAAGCAATTGGCAGGGCAGATAGCCCGGGGAAACGCGCCGGGAATTGCCTGGAAACGGCAAAAAATGCGATTTTTAGATTATAAGAACCTGGGATTCCGATAGATTCCAAATCCCGCGTCTAAAAGAAATTCCTGCAATGGACGCTTATACCGAAAAGTTACTCGAAAAGAGGGCAATACGACGTCGAAAGGAGGCAATATGCAAATTTTTCTATCAAATCTTCACCAGCTTTTTGACGATTGGGGCGCTGGCGCTGCTGTTGTGGTGGATGGTCTCGTAAGTGCCGTGAAATTTTTTTGGAGGCCATCCAGCAGAGATCATTGCGGAAATGGTTTGACAGCGGTTCTGGTTTTATAAATAAATTTCTAAGATAATTTTCATCTTGCGGAAATTCATGTTGTCACAAATCGTTTTGGAAAAATATGATTTTGTTGAGAATCAGTTTTTCGAAATCCATTCTTTCAAAATAATTTTTTTAATTCATTTTGTCAAAATTTGAGCCCATGGACAGAATATATTAGGAGAAAATGATCTTCGACATAATTGGTCTCGCCATACTGATACAAGATCCTTCCCAGGGCAAGCTAGCAGGCGTCATTGGGGAAAGAGCTGCTAAGGGATTTCTAAAGTTTAGCCAGGGGGTCCCGCCTGGAGGGCGGTTCAGCAGTGAGAATTTGAGAAATCAGATCGTTCTCGTTTAGGAACCTAATGAAAGCCGAAGAAACCCGGGAACTCTACTATTTCCAAGACAAAAGCTGGGATTACATCAACGAACAGTGGCGAATCGTAAATGCATCCAAATGGCTGCAGCGCTATATGAGGGTGCTCTCCGGGAACCTGTCGCTCTCTTCCATGCAGAGTTGGTAAAAACTTCGCCTTTATTAAAGACTCTTTAATACTTTTTGAATCTATGGTTTAAGAAAAATTTAGCTTACACGAACTACGCCTCCTCGATGGCTTATCCAAATCTATCCAACGTTGATGATTGCGAGCTAACTTTTGTGCAAAGGATCACACACCCGAACATGGCACTGCAGGTCATTCTTATCTTTCATTACTAGCCTCTCCCTTAGACGATCATCTACTCGTTCGGCATCAACATCAGGGAGTACACGTGGGGCTCAGAAATGACCACCGCCAAGACGCTGATGGCCATGATATTTGGGGCGCCGATTATGAGCGTCGTGGCGGGTACGTTCAGGAATGAGTCCTTGCTGACCACTTTCTGTGGTAAATCGTTTTAGCGTCCATGGTGCATGTTGTGCGCTGGGTGTCGAACATGATTTTGGCGCATCTGATTTTTCTGAACTATCGCAAGAACCTCAAGAAGAAGCAGCTCAAAGCAAAACACGGGCTGTTTTTCCAATTGGAACGATGGCATAGTTGGAGTTATTTGATGCAGGAAACGCTTGTTTTTGTCTTTACCGTATCTTTGGCTGTGCTGATGGCTGTTTTTGGTGGGTTGGACTGAAAGAAGTTCAACGACTGATTGGGCGTATAGTTCGCACCGACATCGAAAGAGAGCGCGAGAGAGAGCGAGAGAGAAGGAGAGAAAGAGAGAGCCAGAGAGCGAGAGAGAGAGAGCGAGAGAGGGAGGGAAGAGAGACAGTGGGAGAACTTGAGAGAGCGAGACAGAGAGAGGTACTTATAGTGCGAGAGAGCAAGAGACAGAAGACTACCACTATCCGAGGCTTAAAAAAATATTCTAGGTGGCTACGTGTTGATGAAAGAAAATGACTGGTCTTTGGACCATACCGTACGCTACTCGTTTTCGTTGCTAATCGGAACCGGAGGCCAAGAACTAGCACCAGAATATTTGACCAATAAAACCGTAACTTCTAACTTGATAAAATTTTTCCAAACATTTCAGATTGATTACCCGCGAGCAATCCACGTCACAAATATCCTCCTATGGTTTTCAACTTCCCTGGCCTTCATTTTTGGTGGAATTATGCAACTCGTGGATATGACCTGCACTGTGCTTCATCGAGTGGTACGATTTTTGATAGCTAGAGGCTAACAACGAGTGCTTTTTTCGGCAAAACCTTACGAGACCTAGTTCAATCGATAGATAATTGAATTTTGAACAAGGTACCAATGTTTATTTTTGCGGATGTCAATGTCTCCGATTTTATAATGATAAAAACTAGTGGGCGTCTTTTGCCATAAGCGCCTTCGAACGGCGCCTTCCGGTGCAGTTTTAAAATTTGATAAAATCAGGGATAGCCATTCCGCAAAAACAGACAACGGAGCCTCGATCAGAATTAAATTCTCTATCGAATGAGCTAAAGTAAGTCTTCGGACCTTTTGCGAATGACTCAAAAGAGCACTCCTTGTAAGGCGTTCAGTGGGGACTGGAGAATCCGCCAGGGTATGAAAAGTACTTTGTAGGGTGAAACCGACAAGGACGAAATCGCCTACTTCCGAAAACTACGCCAATCGAAGCGAGAGTTGAAATATGTAAAGTAACTGGTGTGAGTGGAATTATTTTGCGCTTTGGCTGGATAAATTGTTAATACAAATCTGGCTTTTAGAGATCTTTATTCCTTATTAATGTCGAATTCGTGTCGAAGTCAAAAATCGGTGCCATCGAAAATTATTGTGGGCAGCGGTTGCAGGTGCGTGGGCACTGCTCGGTCATCAGCTGATAGTAGGCCTGAAACTCCTAAATTTAGGTGTCAATTTCTTTTACCGGGTTGTCACAGTAGGCCTTTCGTTGTGGACAGTCCGAGTATCCGGTTTTCGGGTTGATCAGGTCCTGGCAGGTATTAGGGGCTGGCAAGAGTACGGTGGTTTGGTCAACGTATAAAAACCGATACCTGGTCCCGGACCACCGCAATATCCACAGGTTTTCGGGCATTGGTCTTCCATCACGTCGTGGTAGGCCTAAAATTGGGTATTTATTATCGCGTATTTAGCCTTAGAAATAGTGCTAAGTGTTTAAACTTCACAGATGGTTAAAAGGCCGTCCGCGAGTCACTCGAACAGTCCCCATTATAGCTTGGCACAGTTTTTTTCGACCCCCATTTTTTGATGCCATCTGATAGAGCGTGGTCGAATTAGAGGAATCGCACTAATTTGGGATTTTTAAATTAGCATTTTCCTGGTTAAACAAGGCGTTAAAGTTGCCAACGTCCAAAATTTATCTCGACGACTCCTTGATAGAATTGGCTGAAACTTTGTGACTAGGCCTAATTTGGGATGGTGATCATTTTTCTAATAGATCGCGAAGCACGAAAATTAGCAGAACCTAGTTAAATTGCATACCCAAAACAGTTTTTGCCAAATTTCAAATTAACGGCGAGTCGGCCGCAAGCTGGAATTAGGCTAGAAAGATGCGCAAAATTTTTCTGCATCGATTGATGTATTATTTAGGTGGCGGCCAGGTCGCCGTTTTCTTACAGCGAGCTTTTTATAACTGAAAAATGGTCTGAAAATCTGACTAAAATAAAAAATTTTGCGATTTTCTATGTTTTGACCCACGGGATCACATTTAACGATCCGCCAAGCTAAACGCAAAAATTAGCAAAAAGAAATTCGACATTTGAAGGGGTGCTTGTTTTGGGCCGGAATCGAACCCGGACCCTCCGCCTGGGAGTCCTGTGGCGCAGTGAGTAGAGCGTCGGCGTGCCAATCCAGAGCCGCCGCCAGTTCAATCCCAGCTCACTCTCAGAAGCCGAATTTCTTTTTGCTCTTTTTTGCAATCGACTTGGCATGATTTCTTGATGCGTTTTGACTACTCCGATATGTAAATACCACAATATTTTCCATTTTAGTCAGATTTTCAGACCATTTTTCAGTTATAAAAAGCTCGCTGTAAGAAAACGGCGACCTGGCCGCCACCTAAATAATACATCAATCGATGCAGAAAAATTTTGCGCATCTTTCTAGCCTAATTCCAGCTTGCGGCCGACTCGGCGTTAATTTGAAATTTGGCAAAAACTGTTTTGGGTATGCAATTTAACTAGGTTCTGCTAATTTTCGTGCTTCGCGATCTATTATAAAAATGATCACCATCCCAAATTAGGCCTAGTCACAAAGTTTCAGCCAATTCTATCAAGGAGTCGTCGAGATAAATTTTGGACGTTGGCAACTTTAACGCCTTGTTTAACCAGGAAAATGCTAATTTAAAAATCCCAAATTAGTGCGATTCCTCTAATTCGACCACGCTCTATCAGATGGCATCAAAAAATGGGGGTCGAAAAAAACTGTGCCAAGCCTTGTCCGGGTCTCTCGCAAACGGCCTTTTAATTCCAACGTGTAAATTTTTTGATTAGGTTTTGAACGTCGAAAATTCGACCGAAATTGGCTTGTAATGACAATAGGCAATTAAGCTAAATAAGTGCTTATCTACCGGATTATTGCAGTAGTTTGCCATTTTTGGACAATCGGAAACATGGGTTTGCGGGTTGATCTTGTCTTTGCAGTCCGGATCTGGATCCGGCTCACCTGAAACAAAAACCGTAAAATCGCGAAAAATCGCCATATTTTAATCATTTAGCGCATCCCTGAGCTGAAAGCCCTAGCCTTTAAAAAATACCTCCATGCACATCCCGCAAATGACAACAATCAGCGTTATTGATGCAAACCAAGTCGCCGCTGTTGCATCCATCACCACAAGCTTGAAAAAAAATGGATAGACGATAAAAAATGGAATTTCCGTTTACATCTGTCCTTTTAGTGCTTAAACTTTCCACTTACGTCCTAACGGCGCATCACACGTGAGCGCGACCGTAACCCCAAAGAAAGCGACCGTAACAAAAAGCCGAGCAAACATCGCGTCGTCTGCGGAAGCGCGGTCTTTGACCATGTAATTCTTAAATACCTGCGGCTAATCAGAATTTTGTGTGTAGCCAGAGATAACACGCCCTTTAGCCCAAAAGCCCATGATTTACAACCGGTGCCGGTTGGCACTTGCTTGCTCAGCAATACTGATTGCCAGCTGGGATCATCTAGTTCGGAGTTGGAGGGCTTAAAAAACGGAAGTGAGAAGACCTTTAGAAACCGTGGCAGCCGGGTCCCAAAATACGGAAAATAACAAACTTGCGAGCGACGATTTTTGGTGCCGGGGATGTGATATTTCCAGCCAGCACAAGCGTTCGAAGTCTTTCTGTATCCTCGCCGTATGAGCTATCTTTACTTCGCGTCAATTTTTGACTGTCTAGATTTTTCCGACCTTCTAGGTTTTCGATGGTAAAGAGTATCCCTCGGCCGGCTGTCATGTGTGGTATTCTACATTTTTTAAAATGAAAAATATTCCCGTACAATTTCCGCGATTTTTAAGTGTTTCTTTTTTCTATATATTATCCTAATTTTGATTATATTCGTCTGATGATGCCAGTCGGATACCGGAACCACTTTTGTGACCCGGCATTGGTCTCGGATCGGCTTAACCCAAACAAATGCATACCTAGAAAAATGTCGCGTTTATGCGCGATGGTAAGCAACCTGGATTTCGTTTACCTCGCTTTAAATCCGCTGGCATTCTCAACCCCAGAAATGCCCACAGGCAAATGCTTACGCGAGGCGCGACCCGGAGTGTCAACTGCAGCCTCGCGTCGCTGCGGCGCCCGATCGGAAATATCGTTGCCAAAAATCACACATGGCATCTACATATCTGATCTGTCGCGATTATTGAGGCTTTAGCATGACAAAGGATTCGCAACGCTATAGTCGGCATCACCAAATCTGAATGTTTTTTTCATTTACAAACGTACCATTAAATAAATTATTTTTATCTTTATTCGCCCGCAAGTTACTTATGAGCCATTGTATCAAATCTTTTAACAAGTTTTGTATGTAAGTTTTAATTTATTTTTCTTATGTGGAAACGCGGTCATTTCATTAGCTTGATAATGCTTGTCTTGATAAGTTTAGCGCTTTTTTTCTTAAATTTCACGACTGATCGGGAAATTTTGAGGTTACTTGGTTTTCTTCCTTAGGAACGTCTGCCATTAATGCTCAATTTATATAACCCAATAGTACGACAAGCGGAACTGATAAAACGATTGATTGGTGCCTGCGGCCCCATTAATTCTCTGCCCCGCCGCTAAATGAGGTCATTTCTTCTGTACCTCAAACCACTCTATAACCATTCTAATCCTCCCATACCTCTCCGACGTCCCCATCTCGAATTTGATAGCCCAGTCAGAAAAAGTGCTCCCGGATCACTTTACATGACTTTTTCTTCTAGCCCTTCACCCGCCACAATTCTCACCATGACCGACATGAAGCCGTTTGCTGTCGTAAGTTTTTGCTGACAGCTTAAAATCATTCTAGTACAAAACGGCATTTGAAAACTGAAATTAGGAAGCTAGTTTTTGAAACGTTAACCAATTTAAGGGAATTCTGTGAACTGCAAATTCAATCCTTCGCCCATTACAGGCCGAGAGACCGTGCGGCGAGAACGAGAACGAGCTAGAGTTCACGTACGCCTTCTCCTACTTTGTGCGTCCACAAGCTGACTTCGATCCAGAAGATTACTCGAAACACGTTCGGCCGGTTGCCGCCATCTCATCCGTACAGCAGTTCTGGGAGACGTACTGCCATTTGAGGAGACCATGCGGTTAGTATATGTCAGGCTTAGGCTTAGGCTTAGGATTAGGCTTAGGTTCAAGTAGAATCTTTAGCGTGTCCTCAAGTACAGCAGTTCTGCGGGCCGTACTGCCTCAGGACGTACGCATCAAATTATCTCAGGCTCAATTCACCTTTTTCAGATTTCCAAATGAAGGTCGACCTCCACTTCTTCAAGAAGGGCATCAAGCCCGTATGGGAAGACGAGGCGAATAAGAAGGGTGGTAAATGGATTCTACGAGTAAAGAAGGTAAGAATTGACAACGCCTTCCGTTTATTATTATTTTTTTTGCAGGGCCTTTGCTCACGAATTTGGGAAAATCTGCTGTTGGCCATCATCGGCGAGCAGTTCCTGGTCGGGGACGAGATTTGCGGGGCCGTCATCTCGGTCAGGAACCAGGAGGACATCATTTCTTTGTGGAACCGGTAAGGAAATCACAAAAAGTGTGTAATTTTGGTTTATTTTAGAACCGCCGATGACCTCGGGGTTCGCTTCCGGATTCGCGACTCGCTTCGTCGGGTGCTCCATTTGCCAAGCAATACGATCCTCGAGTACAAACGTCACGACGACTGCTTGAAGTAAGTGTTTTTTATTATTTTTAAAATATGCTCTGTAATAAAGAAAAAATATATCGAACAATATGACAAAGAAAAGATGAGATGCTAAAGAAAACTTTAAAACAAATAATAAATCCTAAGCGTATAAATTTACAAATCCGTATCCATAAATCCATTTTTTTCAGAGATCAGAGCAGCTATCGGCATACTAACATCGACCTCGGCAAGCGATAACTTGTGAATTTTCTTTTTTACCCGTTCATTGTTATTTTTTGCTTTCCTGTTCCTCTATAATGTATATGCCAAATAAATCGCGACGAACAGGATACCATATCCATTTTCTTGCTTTTTTCGCAAATTCCCGATCGGCTCGGGGTTCTGTTTCCTGGACGGGGGAAAATAGCACTTGATGTGGTTTTGTTTTAGTAGCTTCAACTTATTCAAGGCATAAAAAGACGTAAAAAATTGCTAAAATGAAGTTTTTTCACCATCTTTCTGAATTTTTTGAACAGACCGTAAAAAATTTGTATGGTGTGGATAAATACAGAGGACATCAATTATGCCTAAGATAATTCTTCCTTCAAATAATCATTACACTTTTTCTTGCCTTATAGGAGAACTTACAGAAATGCAAAAAATCCCCTCGCTAACTAATTAGCTCCCCAGAAAAAAAGCAGGGAGGTCAAGCCTGATCGCTCTCTACATCCGCACCGACCCGAACCCCATCAGCAAACAAGGTTTATCGCCCCCATTAATGCACTCCTTCTTTTCGTGGCCATAGACATGACGCGCCGCGTGTGGACCCCCATTTCCTCACACATGCCCTCGGCCCCACGGCCCAACTCTTCCGGGTCCCGTTAAAAATAACACGTGCCATTGGCTGATCGGGGTGGCACCCATTTGTCTTGATACCGGCGGCGGCTGCTTGGGCAGAGGAACGCGGGCTGGCATTCGCTGTAACGAAACACGGAAAAACAACGGTTTTTGAGTAATTGCACGCGAAAGGAAGCAACTTGTAGGAGCTGGCAGGTGTTTATCAGCTGCCTGCAAGCAAACTGATTCGGTTGTCAATTAAATTATTTACATGAAGATTTTCGTAAATTTTTGCATCAAGACTAGAGCCATTTCATAAAGTGTTTGCAAGCTGAAAAAGTGTTGCCATCGAAATCATGTGAAACCTATATTTATTCTCGGATTTAAAAATTACCCCAAAAGGAAGTGCCATTTGAGAAATTTTAACTTGTCGGCCACTTTCGAGGTCCGAGGTAAAACTAGCTTAACCACACTCCCAGAAAGGCAATGCCCAAACGCCTCTAATTTCTACAAGACTTTAGTGTCAGGTTTGCTTGGGGCTTAGGGCTTAGGCTTAGGCTTAGGCTTAGGCTTAGGCTTAGGCTTAGGCTTAGGCTTAGGCTTAGGCTTAGGCTTAGGCTTAGGCTTAGGCTTAGGCTTAGGCTTAGGCTTAGGCTTAGGCTTGGGCTTAGGCTTAGGCTTAGGCTTAGGCTTAGGCTTAGGCTTAGGCTTAGGCTTAGGCTTAGGCTTAGGCTTAGGCTTAGGCTTAGGCTTAGGCTTAGGCTTAGGCTCAGGCTTAGGCTCAGGCTTAGGAGTGGTCCTCGACCACTTTACCTAGGGTTAGGTTGGGCTTAGGCTTAGGCTTAGGCTCAGGCTTGGGCTTAGGCTTAGGCTTAGGTCCTTCAAAATGCATTATATATCAAATTTCCAGAGGAGCTGTGTGAAAGGTACGTGTTATCCGAAATAGTTCAAAGACGCTTTGAAACCGAATCCATGTGGTGGTGGTGCTGCCGAAAGTTCTGACAAATTGGGCTCATTTCAAAAGGTGTTGATGGCAACAACCGTTGGACAAATGACCTGAACACCCTCGGGGCAGCTCAAGTTTCGCTGATCCCAATCCCAAAAAGCTTAAATATTAAGCACGTAAGCCATTTTTCTATCTTCCACATGAGTTCTCTGAAATTCACGTGAATTTCCTCTTTGCATCACTCATCGAGGGAATTTAAGGGACGTGCCAAGTGTTTGGCCGGGTTTTGACAAGCCTGCACTTCCCTGGGGCGGCTCTTTAAAACGACCTATGTGTGTGCCATCGAGTGATCTGAGTGAGCCCCCCATTTATCCTCTTCCTCCTTCCAGTCGGCCAGCCGTGTCCACCGCTCATGAGGTTCCGCCTCTCGACCCCAGAGGCAAGGTCTGGGCCCGGTTCTCGCACTTGGGCCTCAGTCGGGGGCCGGTACTATTGATTCTGGGGTTTATCCATTTTTGAGTTAATCCTGAGAATATGGATGCTGAGATCAATTTTTAACTTTGCGTTTACATACCTAAAGCATTACATTTCTGTATTTTTCAAAGCCTATCCCTAGGATTGAGTCTTTCCAAGCCTAAGCCTAAGCCCCTTTCAAACTTGAGGTAATTCCTAGACTGAGGTATCGGAGTTTGTGATTTTTTAGGGCCCGAGTCTTTTCACTAGGCACATTTTGACCCAGATTCCGTCGTCAGTCACATTCCTGTCATTTTCTCACCCTTTTCCATTTTCCCCCGCCGATATCTTGTTACTCGAACTCCGGACTCACCTGAAATCCAACCCTCCTGTTTTGGGCGGCAAAGAAACAATTTGTCTACCCTGTTTTTCAAGCCTCGTGACTACCTCATCTTCTCAGGCGCCCTATAAAGCCCAGGAAACCCCAGACATTCATTTTTCAAGTACTCAACCCCTATTCGACCTTTAAAACACAAAAGACCTGACTTACCCAAATTTTCAGAAACTTTACTCCAACCTGTACCCCACCGCAACAATCACCATTCTGGAGACGCAGACGAGGCCCCGATGGGCCGACCCGTGTCGCCTGAACCGGGATATCCCATATCAGAAGTTGGCGCCCGGGTATCGGCTATTGATGCGTGGCTGGGACTGTCGGCTGATGGTCGGGCAGGACGTGCTCCAGCTTACGCACCCCATTGCACATCATCATCCGTTTTTGAGGTGAGCTTCTTGGTTTGAAATGGAGTTAGAGGGACTGGAAAGGAATGTAACTAACTCGACTCGAATTTCGAAATCCATCATCCCTTTTCAGTAACACAACCGTCGACGAGATCTGCGTCGAAGGACCCTACGAGGTACAGCTCCCGAAAGTGGTCGGCCTCCGCACAAGCACCCTCTGCATCACCGACGTGGAAAAATGCGGCCGAATATTGAGGACCCTCTGTCCGGAGGGCCCAAAAATCTCGCACGTCAAGCTGTTCTTCTACGGGGAGACGATGATGTTGGACGAGCGGCTGTCTCGGTTACTCTGCGACAAGGCCGCCGAGGTCGAGCTGTGGAATTTGGATGCTAATTTGGCGGCGAACTTGCTCGACCAGCACACAAAGGTGATTGTATGTCCGAAGGAGGCGGATGGCCGTGATCTCAAGAAATTGATAAGACAGGTTCGTGCTGATTTTACTGGTTGTATAAATAGAAAGTCGGCATATTAAATACCGACAAATGAGATATGCCGACGTCAACAACATGACCTATAAGGGGGTGAATCCGACTCAAAGAAAATTTCAGTCGCCCTGAAATCCTGACTGTCGTGGTTTTTGCTTGTCGGCATTTAAACTTTCCGTATTTCGCTTGTCGGCATTTTAATTGTCCCATTTGGGCTTGTCGGTGTTTGGGAATTCGGATTTTTCGGTTCTTGAAAATTTGACTGTCTTCATTGGGGCGTTTTGGGAAAACCTGTCGGAATTTCGGATCTGTCGACGGTATTTTTCGGTGTCGGTATCGTTTTAAGGGTGTTTCGAGAGCCGAAAACAACTCGATAATTAAAAAAAATGTCAAATTTCTGAAAGCTGGCTTATCTCCATAACCCAATTTTTTTCAGGTGTTGGCCGACTGGCAAACCAGGAAGCGCCCCGACGCGTTCCGCCTGGAAATTCGACCCCAAAGGTGTTGCCCCGACGAGTTGAAGCTGTTCGAAAAAAAGCATCAACGTGAGGACGATGAGGGCGCATCAATCACCGTCGCCAGCGGTCTCGGGGCCGAGGGCCCATTTTTGCGGATAACCGCCGGGCAGTGATATTTTTCATGGAAAATACAGGTGCAATAAACATACCAAATCTCACGGAGAAGCAATCGATAATGCACACGTTTTTATGACATGACATCAAGCTCAAAGACACTTATAAGTCGATTAAGACCGTGAGATAAGAAAGTATTTCTAAAAGCCTTTGTATGCCCCATAGGCATAGAAACTCTAAGAAATTTTATTGAATAAAATTCAACACATCGATTTTTTTGACGTAATTTTTAATTTTTTTTTAGATTTTGGGTTAATTTTCCATTCGAAATCTAGTTAAATCTTACTAAAAAAATTATTGAGACTACTATTACCGTGTTGGGCATTTCGTGAATTATAAGAAGAAAAATTAGGTCTCCCGTTAACGTGAAAGAACCTTTTTTATTTAACTCATATTTTTTGCTTTTGTTTGAAGAAAAAACCCATCTCACAAACATATTTATTCAGTGCCCTCGTTAACGTAGCATTCGTTTAGCATTCACATGAGATTCCGCATCACAACCGAAATTAAAGCTAACAAAGACGTCTAGTTTTGGCGCGTGGATCTGTGGGAGACGTTGGAGATGGACTGGGTGGAAGCCCTCGCGGCTGACTGGCTCATCGACTCTGCCGAAATTCTGGCGATCGAGCGGGTGGACGAGGACGCGCTGCGACGCAGCCGCTGCTGCTCCCTCTGGTAGGAGGCCATCATTTTGTGGTATTGTCGCCGTTGGTACCAGATCTCCGCGTATGGGCAGCACTGAAGCATCAATTATTTTTTCGTTCTTTTCAAGTGAAAAACTGATCAAAAATCAGCACTGTGAAAACTCCGGTTATGCAAAGCCCTCAAATTTCCCTACCCAAAACAGCCCGATCAGCACCAGGGCGACGGGCCCGAAACCGATGATGTAGATGATGAAGTTTTGCTCAGTTCTGAAGCAGTCGCTTTTAACCGGACGTTCGTTTTGATTGGATTAACGTGATCCAAATCCATACCTCGTCTTCACGGCGCTGGCCCGGCCTACAGATCGACAAGCCGGCGAGTTGCGCTTCGAGCAGACGGCGATGATTTTCTGCAAGAAATTGGCCTCTGTTTCAACCCGTTGAAGCTTCAAAGATGGTGACTCGATTCGGGCCGTCGACTTAACGTACGCGGCAGTACTTCCGATCCGAAGTGACGATATGCGAATGGCCCATGCACTCGTGGCTGTAGATGTTTGCCAGCAGACCGTCGAACTCGGGTGGGGCCTGAAGACTATTTACTGGAAGCCCAAGCTTCAGCGTAAGCCCTAGCCTAAGCCTAAACCTCAGCCCACCTTTTCCCACAAAACATCGCAAATTGCGAGCGTCGAGTTGATGCAGCGGCGGAAATGCTTCTGGCAGAGCACCTAAAACTTTAGGTGCGCGCAGGTTCTGAACGAACCCGACAACGCTCCCTGTTCACGCTGCATTCAGCGACGAAATGGGCCCGGCAAGCGTGAATCGCTAAATCCAAGTTTTTTCGTTCCTGAAAAATCAAACCTTCCCCAGCACATTCATCAATCATCCCCGGCTCTGGCAGGCGTCGCGTCGCGTTTTCGGCAACCACGATGTCGGCGTCGTCGGGCAGGTAGCGCTCGATAAGGTCGATGTGAATGTACTGAAAAAGGCGCAACGAACTATTTTTAACTGTTTGATCGAAACATCGAGTTTTTTACTATTCCGAGACGTAAAAAATGTACATTTTTTCGAAACGAGTTTTAGAGCAAAAGACATGTAAATTTTTAAATTTTACGGTTTTTTAGAAGCTACCTGGTAGAGCAGTCGACAATAGACCGGTATGGTGCGATTGATTTTCGCATCGACACATAACCGCTGGTAGACTTGCTGAAAAATGATTGTGAAGTGACGGTGTTGGTCAACGAGATCGAGCACCCCAAGCGGCAGCAACCCACCGGCCCGAGAACATCGACAAAAGACCGGATCATGAAGTCGCACTTGGCAAAGTTGAAGTGCGCCCAGAAGTCGGTGCTGTCGAGGTGTCCGTACTGCGCGGATAGGAGGCTACAATTGGCCGGCAGACCGGCGACGATTTGGTCCACGCGCGGTTCCCAGTGAGTGTTATGTGGGCCGGAAATCTGAACGAATCGTGGAGTAGGTTGGAAGGCTTCGGCTTAGGCTGGTGCATGGGCTTCGTGTTAAGCTCAGGCTTAGGTTTACGCTTGAAGGCAGATTCAGATTGAGGCTTAGGCTTGGGCTTAGACTGAGGCTTGCTTTTCCATCGTAATGTCAAAATTCAGGATGTCGAAATTCACAAACTCAAAATTTCTAAAGTGAAAGATCCAGGCTATTAGATCACTTACCCTCTCCCGTGGCTCCTCCAGTTCCGCTTCCTCAAACCCTTCAGCCCGTTCCAGCACCCCTTCGGGGATCTCGCCGATACCGAGGGGCGGCTTCCGCAAATCTCCGCCACTTGGCCACACCATGTAGAAGGCGGCGTAGAACTCGAAGTCGGGGTGCATCTGGCAAATCTTCTGGGCCTCCTCCCTCCCCTTGGCGATATCCGGACTTGAAGCGCTGTCCTGCGCGAGGTATTCGTGGTACAGACGGCAGAAGGGGCTGAAAAGTGAGTATCGACGCGTGTCGGTAAATGGTAGGTAAGTCTTTTGGCCTCGGTAAATGAGAGTTAAACACACTCACAGTGACCAGGCACAGTGAGGTTTTCCGGCGGGGAGAGAGCAGTTTGTGGCGCCCGACGGGTAGAGCATCTAGATTTTGTTTTTATATGGTTGCTAGCAAATGATAACTGTATATATAAAAAGAAAAGAAACTTGTAGCAGAAAACTTGCAAAAGCTCGTCGTTTGCCCATTTTCGGCCCAAACAAATCGATTTTTCAAACTTAAATACATTTTTTCACAAAATGAATCTTTCTAAACTCTTGAACAAATAAAGCCTTGATTTTTAATCATAGATGTTTCACTCTGAATTTTATATACTTCAAAGGCTTATGGATCAAAAACCCCTACCGGATTACCGTAGTAGGCACCCTTCAGCATTCCGCATTCCGGCGACGCTTCATTCACAGAACATTCTTTTGCCATCGTTTTGTAGCAGTTGATTAGTTTGGTGTGGTTGCGCTGAAATAACGGCCATAATTCTCAACGAGGGCTTTTCAAAAAGATCGCTCCGTTTTGTCCATTCCATCACGCACCGAATCACAATCTGGATACGTCATGCTTCGACATTTCCCCTGTCTTGGACTCGTCGCCGGCAAATCATCACAATATTTGTAGTCCTGATTTCGGGTCTGTTTCAGTGCCTAAATGGGGCCAAAAAATTACCAAAAATACGATTAGAACTTCAGAGAATTTTTAGAATATTGCGTTTGCTAGCAATCTTTGGTCTTTTGGAAAACAAATAATCCCCTTCTGGTAAGGCAAAAGAACCAAGACACGACTTATTTTCGTTGCTGCCATAGCTGTTACCAACCCCCCCCCCCCGATAATGCACATGTGTCGTCGCGATTGAACAACAGTTTGCTAGAACAAACACGGCAGAGAGAAGTGTAGAGGTTGGCTTTAGTTTGCTGCAGATGGCATCCCTCGGCAAAGATGGCGAAAATTGCCGGCGGCAACACGTCGACGTACGCCTCCTAAACAGCTTCAGATACTGTGGTGGTTTGCTTTATGTCAAAACGTCCAGCGTACCGACCAAAAACCGAAGCCCGTTGATGTCCATGTTCCTCATCAGGTCGTCTTGTTCCGCGACAAACTGCAACCTGGGTTCCTTAGGCTTCGCGGGAGTAACAAACTTTTTTTGGCACAAGTCTAAATTTTCTTACGAATAGCGGATGCGTTTTTACATTGTTTTGAACTATTCCTACGCATAGAAACTTTGCACATTTGTTAGAGAAAAATTTGGTTTAGGTCGAAAAATTGATTTTTTTTGTAAAGCACCAGATGTTCGAATTTTTCAAACACTTTTCTAACTTTTTTTAAGGTTTTTCTACTTGAATTATGGTTAAAACGGCTACGGTTTACTTTACCCCCCCCCCCCCCTCAGCCGGAAGTTTTCGGCTATAACTTTTTTATTTTACATTTTTGTAGGCTCAAATTAAAACTCTTAGTATATTTTTCGACGCTCTATCGAATGGCGTTGCGAAAATCTCGACAAAATAAGCGAAAATACCGACAACTTTGAGACGCTTCGGCTGTGGGGGGGGGGGGGTAAAGTAAACTCTTATCGTTAAAACTTACCAAGAAAAATGTTAAAACACTCTAGGTTTGATTACCAGGCCAACCGGGTCCGCCAGAAAAAAAGTTGTTTGTTCGATTGCGATTCAGTTTTTCCATTTTTCGAGTTCGGTTGTCAAAAGATTTTTCGACAACATTTCGAATTTCCAGTACTCACATTTTCACAAATTTTTGAAATAGATTTTATCAACTTAAAGCACATTTAGCCACCCACCAGTGAATCAAACGACGGGATCAGAAAATTGGCACAGTACTCCCGCTCGGGGCCCGTCGCGTGCGGCCTGCACATGGTGAAAAAATAGCGCAGCGTCCGCTTCTATGGCCACAATTCCATTTAATAAAAACATACTCTCACCATCAGTGTCTCCTCGTCAGCCACCCCGCAAAAAAATGCTTCCCTACATGTAGCTGCCCATTTCTGCAAACAAGCGGCTTGCCAAGGATTTTGCCATTTCGGCACTTTACCATTACGGACGGACCCAATTTTTTTTGTATCAGTCAAAAATCGTTCAAAAAATATTTTAATAGTCTTTTTAGAAAAATTGATTTTATTTACGCCCCAACCTTGCAAAAATCGTGGTAGAAATGGTTCTTCCGCGTCCAACGGCCGGGTATCCGCATACAAAGATCTTGCCACAAGTACACGCCGGCGACGCCGTCGTAGTTGAAATCATCGTAAAGCTGGAAATCAATGATAGCTACCGGAGCCAAATTCCCACATCGTAGAGAAGTTCGCGAAATGCCGGTCGCGACGCTGCCCGTGCCGCGTAGTCGGCGACCATCCGCATATAGAGCGGGCGGCCCCGCGTTTGCTAGGTGTTTTTGTATTTTTGGGCGAGGGATCATCGTTTTTTCCCGTAAGCCCAAAATAGTGAATGTTTAAAAAATTGCTAAATTTAACTCCAATTAAGGCGAAAAACTATGTAACGGACGGCCATGTTTGTCCGTTTCAGGGATGAAAGATACAAAAATCAGGACCCGAAAGGGGCTCCTCCATACCTGGTAGACCGACTCTTCGACCAAGTGCGAGCAGTAGACGGACGGCACATCCTGGCGGCAGCAAATTGCCACATAAGCCATCGCGTTGTCGTTGCTAGAAAAATCGATCGCCGGGATTCTGTATGTCGGGATTTTGCTTGTCGTCATTATGCTTGTCGGGATTTTGGTTGTCGGGATTTACGCGTTTTCTCCTGGTTGGGCTAACATCTGAAAAAAATCTTACCCATGCAAATGTTCCAGCAAAATGTTGATCTCCTGGCATATCGTTGCATTTTCTAGCTCGTCCCGTTTCGTGCAGATCATTTGGACGGTCTGAAAATAGCGAGAGAGAGGTAGAGGTAGGTAGCGGTAGAGAGAGCGAGAGCGAGAGCGAGAGAGAGAGCGAGAGAGAGAGAGAGAGAGAGAGAGAGAGAGAAGTAACCTACCTGGCAAAAAACTTGCATGTCCCCCTCGTGCTCCTCGGTGCCCAGGCAGTGTTGGCTAAAGAAACCGGGGCTCGACTAAAAAACCCTGAGTTTTTGCAGTGACAAAGCCAATTACCACGATAATGCTGCCGAAAAATTTGTTGATCACGGTATCTGGGTCCTCTTCTTGCGCACATTTTCCGCCAATAAGCAAAAATAAGAGGAAGAGGTAGTAGTGCCACATTCCTCCAAATAATATGTGGATTCTAGAAATTCGATATTGCAAACCTGCCAAAAAAGCAGTCGTGGACGAGCAACTGCACGGCCACTCGTTGCGCAAAATGCTCGATAACTTTTTGCTATGTAAATTCAAGATGAAGACTTCCAGTGCATTCATTATTCAAATTACTAATGTGTTTTTCTTATGTTTCATTAGCAATGCACTTAATTTATGACGAAAAAATGCTAAAAAATGGTTAGAGAATTAAATTCGTATTTCCAAACAATTTATACGTCATTGACTGCAGTCTAAAGATGCGTATGCACGCAATCTCCAATCTTGTAGGTGTCTTCTTTTTCCTGCAATTCCTCCATATCTTCACCCTCGAGGGGGTCCAAATTTACCTAAAAAATTCGATCATTACGAAAAAAAACTTAAAACCATATGCCCAACAGCGGATGCCACCAGCCCATCGGCCATCGTGCAAATGGCAGTACGGATTCGGTCTCTGAAGAATAGAAAGTCTTTGATAATTCGCATTATGATTTATAAGATATTTAAGGGTGTGTGAAAAGCTTACAGTAACCAATCCACTGCGATAATTGTCTTGATGTCGGCAACCGGAAGTCCGACTGTCTCTAAAATCACCAGCATCGACACGAGGCCGGCCGGGACGGCGTTTAGTCCGGCTGAGGCGAGGGTGGCTGTTATACTAAACGTTTGAATGGTCCTCTCGATTTCTCCCTCCCTCCCTCTATTTCTCTCTCTCTCTCTCTGTCGCTCTCTCTCTCTGTCTCTCTATTTCCTACCTAATCGTCACCACCTCTGTCAACGTCAACTCGATCCCATTAATCTGCGCTATAAAAATGGCAGCCACAGCTTCATAGAGCGCGTTCCCATCCTAGGATCTGGTAAGCTACCCCGTATATCTTACCATATTTGTCGATGCACCTAGAGGAAGCACAAATTTTGTCACTCTTGAATCCGCAACCCCCTCCATACATTGCAGCCCAACAGGCAATGCAGCACCACTGAAAATGTTTGGTTTTTGGGTGCCTTTCCATGTAATTTTACTTTGTAAATTTCTAAGGCCAACCTTGACGCCGTTCCCAGCGACGTCATAAACGCGGGCAACATCGCCTTCATGATGGGTAGGGGATTATTGCGGGTCACTAGGAATGTAAGGTACCTTCTTCTAATTTAGTTACCGACTATGTAAACCATCGGAACCCCGACCAAAATGTGAATAGTCAGTCCAAGGAGTACTGTGGCAACGTAGGTGGCGAGGATCTGCATTTAATGATATTCTGGCAAAACGAAAAGAGGACTTGGAAGGTGGTGAAGATGTCTTCAACTTCCGCGATACTTGCCGCTACCAGACTGGTAATGCCGAAGGGAGCTGTCCTATAAAATAATTTGTTTCATTCTTTGGATTTCAATAGATCCTTTCAGCAAAAGGGCAGCAGTTAGCAATTAATCTGTAGCTACCTACCACATAGCACCTTCGATTAGATATATCACAATCGTCTCGAGGGACCCAAAAAAGTTACGCACAGGCTCACCGATGTGTCGCAGCTAAAACAAGGCGGGGTCGTTCACGATTTGGACCCGCTAATGTTAAGTTCAAGCCTAAGCCTAAGCCTAAGCCTAACCAACCTTTGAAGTCCCAATCCCAATCAACGCGCAAAACGTGATGATTCCAAGAATATTCAGCCCCTCCACTTTCTCGACGTGTTTAACCGGAAAGCCACTCCGATTCCGCGAAATCTTCGTTTGATCTCGGCTGTTAGCAGCCCCAATGATATTTTCCGGGATGAGATTCCTAAAAAATTCGACGATTTGAAATTCGAGGAAGCTGAAGCCCATCAGAACCGGTGCTTCTAGCGGCTTCACCTACCGTATCATGTCTAAGATGTTGTCCAGAGCTTCATGACTGTGATCGTGAGGTCTAGGTACCACTTTTCCACCCTTAAGCTCGGATTTTATTAGATTAAAGCAATGTTTAAATACCTTGATCGATGGATTTCCGGGGTGGATAATCAGCACCAGCGTTAGTCCAATCTAAAACTAATCTGAAGCTCTAAAATCTTTCGTTTTTTATTTTGCACTCCGTCTCTCTCACCCTCTCTCTCACTCTTCCCTGCTCTCTCTCTCTCTCTCTCTCTCTCTCTCTCTCTCTCTCTGTCCCGAACTTACGCAGGTCGCCATAGCCGCCGTGAACAAATAATACAAAACGCTCCGCAAGCCGAGCTTCTTGGCGGTGTCCGGATGCAGCTGGGCCAAAGCTATACTTTGTTGGGCGGCTCAAACCCAACACATACCGGAAATTAATGATGCGCACACCAATGGCAGCACCAATAGCTTCAAGAGCCGCATAAAAATTTCCCCCGGGAAAAAGATGAGGGTTTGTAGCGATGAGGAGACATTGAATTCCCTGAAAATCGCAAGAATCTGAGTTTTTTTGGACTTTGGAAATACCTTATTAACAGTCCAACTGAAAACCCGATAAAAACAGCTAGAATTGCCAAGATGACAAATTTCTGTTCATGGAAAAACGATTTTCGTTTGGCCACCATTGTCAGTGTGCGGGTTCCAGGATTGCCGGCGAGTTTTCGGTGAGCGGAATTTTTATGGAAATCCGATTGGTGACCCGGGAAATGTCGAACTTTTTGAGGCTCTGAGTTTTGTCACGGATAATCGGAGTATTCCGGTGGTGACTAAAGGTTCGAAAGTGCGGGAAGGATGCTCTCTCCCTCTCTCTCTCTCTTTCTCCCTCTCTCTCCCTCTCTCTTTCTCTCTCTATCTCACGCCTCTCTCGCTCGCCCTGACTTTTTCTCAATCTGAATGTCGAGATTTCTCTGTCTCTCTCTCTCCCTCTCTCCCTCGCTCTCTCTCTCGCTCTCTCTCGCTCTGGATCCCTCTCGCCTATTTTTCGCATTCTTACTCCACTCTGACCAGGGATAAAAAAAATGAGAACAGTAAAGCGATAGAGAGCTAGAACGGGATAGTGAGAGAGAGAAGAGAGAAGGCCTACAGAAACTCCATTACTTGAATCTTGTTGCGATCCGGACTTCGAGCTCGACTGTTTCTTTCCAGGATATGAGCCTGATTTCCTCCACACAATCTTTCCGAGAAACTCACCTTTTAATACGTGGAATCGGACAAACAATGACTCTCTCTCTCTCACTCTCTCTCTCTCTCTCTCTCTCTCTCTCTCTCTCTGGGCCAAGAGACTTTCCAAAAACCCAGGTGCAATCAGGTGTTTTACCGACTGACCTCTCCGAAACCAGCGAAAATGTTATTTGCTCGAAGCCACTTCACTAGCTTCTTTGCCATGAAGACGCTATGGGGCAACCAAATCGACTTCAACTTTTATCCAGCGCTTCAAGGCTTTTATGTCTTAAACATTTTTACGCTACCAATTAGCGGGATGGCCGGGTATTTGATTTACAAGAAAACGCCGGCGGAAATGTCGCAGTATCGTTATTTTTTGCTGAATATATGGGTACGTTTTGTAGTCGATAAAACGATCCACGGTCATTTCCCCGAAATTCGTTTCCTTGAACAGTCGTTTCCCCGAAAGTCTTTTGCCCCAAAAGTCACTTCCCCGAACAGTCATTTCACCGAAAAACTAATTTTGCATGCAAATAAATGATGGGTAGCGCGTTGCCTATTAATCCTACGCACAAAGCCCAAATCTTGGTTCTTAAAGGGATGCCCAACCTCTCCGGAAGTCAAAAAGCAAAAACCATGTCGCGGGCGGGGTCGAACCCGGGACCCGCGAGTAGGCCTGGATGCTATCCATTAGGCCATAGTGGCAAGCGATTGGGCGGATGGGGACGCCACAAGAGGGAAAGGGTCCGAATTCTGTGCGGCAATGGGCTCCCCGTTGCCGCACGGAATTCGCGCGTCAGTTGTACTGCCCGGAATACATAACTATATATTTGCCGCCAAAACCTTGGGTATCCCTTTAAACATCGATATATATTAACTAATCACTCGGTTTCCGTCCCCATCGTACCCCGCCAACACAAGTAGCAAAAATTCAAGTTGGATCCCCTTTCTAAGGTAATTTCCCCATGCGGCTCGAGTGTTTTCGGGTTTTGCATGCAAAATTAGATTTTCGGGCAAATGACTGTTCGCGGAACGACTTTTCCGGGAAATGACTTTTCGGGCAATCGACGTTTCGGGGAAACGACTTTTCGGGGGAATGACTGTTCGGGGAAATGGCTTTTCCGGCAAATGACTTTCGGGGAAAAGACTGTTCGGGGAAACCACTTTTCGGGGAAATGACTGGCACCCTGATAAAACTGAATAGCATCAATGTATAAACAATAAAAACAATAAAATTAACAAACAAAAATAACCCTAACTTTTAACAATTCCGGTTAAAACCCATGAAAACGCGGGAAAATTTGAAAAATTTGATACCACGCCAGATCTAAAATTAAAGACCTAATCCTAAGATAGAAAAATCCAAGTGCTGATGTTTTTCAGTTCTGGACAGCACTCTCCGACTTCGCGCTGACGATCGTCTTGCAAATTCAACTCTTCTTTCCACTATTTGGAGGAGCTTCATGCTCACTTTTTGTCAACTACTTCTTCCCAATGCTCCCTGATAATGGATATTTTGCATGGGTAGGCGGAACTCATAATGAGTTTTATATTTCCTCAATTAATAACTATCTTTCCGATAATGCTTGCAAAAAGTTTAAAATATACCCCAAACAGGTGCATTTCCCATGAGTTCACAGCCGGAAAAAAAACTTGTGTGGCGAATTTGCTCGCCAAAACCTGGCCTTTACCCCTTTCGTAGCTTTTGCAAGGAGCCAAAAAAAGCCGCTACAAGCCGTACAGGTGAAAGTTGTACTCGCCCCAATTTGAGGTGTTCACCGTATGGGTGCTGGTGAACGCCTCGATCTCGCTGCTCTGCGGGTTTATTTATAGGCTCTGGGCGCTGGACTCGGAGACGTGGTTGCGAAGGGATAAGAGGTGAAAAAATGAGCGATTTTGCAAAGATAAAAGCTGGCAAAAATTAAGTTTTTGCTAGATTGCCCAGGAAAATTTTTTGAGACGAAATTTAAGAATTGAAGGTCCGTTTCAAAGATATCTAGATGAATTCGAGCGCCAAATTATCAAAATTGAAATCTGACAGGCTTTGAGTTACTTAAACCCTCAATACCTTTCATTAAACATATTTTCAGCTACCTCTACAATTTCTGCGCGGGAATCCATGTGATAAAATCTTCATTTGAAACCTGGGAATGTATTATGGCCTATACCCCGCGTGACAAGATGGCCACTTTTATTCTCGAGGTGCCCCACGCGTTTAATTCAATTAAATATAGAATTTTCTTGCATTTTTTGCATTAATTACACCTTTCAGCGATACCCTCAATACTCCAGCATCCTAACCATCCCAAACTTCCTCCTCCTTGAGCCGGCATTAAACCCGTGGAATGGGTATCTATTCGGAACATTGATCACCGGAGAATTTGCCATCTTTGGGACAATGATCTACATTTTTGGGCGGATTTCAAAGATTCTACAGGTTTCGCAAATTGTATTTTTTGATCATTGCCACATAGGATCGGCGTGGTTGTATGAGTACACGCACCTATCAACAGCACAGGATGCTCACGATATCGCTGATATTGCAGGTCATTTAACAACTAGATTTAAAGCAGAGATTGGCAAAATCATTAAAATATTTTTTTTGTAGTCCGTACTCCCTATTGTCGTTTTCTACGTCCCAATCACGGCAGGAATGGCATATCTGCTGGTGGATCGAGGTGAAAATGGGTATATTCAAGGTACGTGTGGGATGTAGGATCCTTCATTTTATTTGCCCATTCGCTCCCATTTTCCGTCTTACTATCGCTCTCTCTCTCTCTCTCTCTCTCTAATTCTTCCTCAATTTAGCTCTAGCTTTCCCGATTCTAGGAATGGCCCACGGGTGTCTTATTTTATTATGTCTACACACCAACATAAACATAATCGCGATGCTTTGTTTAATCCGGCCGTATCGTGTCGAAGTATTGAGATGGTGGGCAAAGATGCCCTGGATCGGGTATGAAAAATGGTCTAGTGAAATGAACCTTTCTTCCACTTTCAGGAAAAACTACAATGCAGCGACCAGAACCACGACAAAAGTCATCTCTACCTCGCGAATCTATCGGCCGCGGGGTTCTATGAGCCAAACTTCGATCATACCGGAAATTCGTGTTGAGCTGGCTTGACCGCTTCATGCACTTTTTAGCCAAAAAAATTCAAATAAAACATTTTTATTTTGACCATTTCTAACAAAAGCTCTAAAATATTTTGTGGCACCAAGCTAAATTTTGCGTCTAAACGATATTTTTAAAGGGAGAGAGGGAGAGGGGCGAGAGGGTGAGGAGAGAGAGGGAGAGGGAAAGAGCGAGATAGATAGCCTGAGAGAGAGACAGAGAGAGAGACAGAGAGAGACAGAGAGAGAGAGAGAGAGAGAGAGAGAGAAAGACATAGAGTGGCAGAGAGTGGCAATAGCGCAAGAGAGCCTAGACAGAGACAGAAGCACCTAGAGAAATCACGCTATTTTTTCTGCAATGAAGACAATCCTTGCCTAAAAATTTTCCAGTTCAAAAATTTTTTAAATATGAGAATCCCGGAAAAACATAGATTGGCAGCGCTCCGATAGCCAGTTGTAATTAAAAACGGGGCCGCACCGGCATTTTATTTTGATGAGTTGCATGCCCATTTCGGGGGGGCCCGTCGATCCACATGCGTTTTTCGGCGGCTCTCACCAAACAATCAATGTGCCAGCTCGGCTAAAAAGCCATTGTCAATAGACTGCTGGCTGGCTGGTCGTCAACCATTCCGACCTCGGGGCCCTTTGCGGTATCCTGGGATTCTAAAACGGGATTCTCAAAAAGACGAGGCTGATCTTTCCTTTGCTCCTAATCACCTGGAAAATGCTAATTAAGACCACAATATTTTCTGTTATATTTTTAACCTATTTTCACCCATCTCAGTCTGCAAATATCGTCCATTATGGCAAAGGAGAACGGGTATGAGATTTATCGGTTATTTTCGCAGTATTCTGGGTATTTTCGACCTTTTTTGCAAAAAGATTTTTCAGACTTTGAATTACTATGTAATTTTTTTAAGCAACCGAAAATCGATAAATCTAATGTTGGCAGCAAAACTGAGTTTTGCTAAAAACAGCAAGGCAGTTACGACCTAATAACGACCTAATAACGACCAAAAGCTACTTTTTCAGGTAGACGTCTACGTAAATAAAGTGGGCCCGTATGCAAATCCGCACGAAACTTATCACTATTACAGTCTACCGATTTGCAGACCGGATCGGGTACACTCGAGATTCTCTATTAAACTACGATAAAATACGTGAATTTAGATAATCCACAAGTCCCTCTCCCTCGGCCAAGTTCTCGAGGGTGATCGAATGGCAGAAAGTCACTATTTATTCAAATTTGCTGACGACCAGGTAAGCCGTAGGTGATTAATAAAGAAGTAATTAATAAAATTAATAAAGCTAAGTCGCCCTTCTACCATATAAATTCTTAGTAATTTTCGAAACCGGTGTGTGCAGCAATTTTAAGAAGTGTAAGTACCGGCGTATCCATCACTTTTAGGAAATGGGATCCCTATGTGGCGAACGTACCTTAAGCCTATTGGATACGCAGCGACTGGTTGCAGCTATAGAAGAGGAGTATTTCTTCGAAATTATAATAGGTATTAAAATTACTATTGTTCAAATGCTGTTTCGAATCTTTAGATGATCTTCGAATCCGAAATTTCCTCGGGTTTGTCGAGGAATCGAAACAAGTCTTCCCGCATGTCCATCGCGTGTTTGTATATACGGAATACCCATTTATCGTTGAGTATAATGGGGATACGGTATGATTTTTATTACTCGTAAAATTAACTGTATTTTCTTGCATGACTGCATTATTTAGAAACGTATTTTAAAGCATGAATCCTCAAATTCAGATCATCAGCATTAACTTGACGATGAACGCCCAAAGTGCTAAAGAAGTGGATTTTGAAAGAGAGCTGACGATCGATTTTCGATATGCTATTAAGTGGATAAGCGTTGAGTAAGCCTATACTTTAATTATAACGGCAAAACATTTAGTAAACCTGTTGATAAACGACCCTCCGATGGGCAGCTCCTATTTTCCGCCCGATCTATGCAAGTTCACTGGCTATCAGTCATCAACGCGTTACTACTTGTGATATTATTGATCATTGGAGTCACCCTAATTTTGGTAAGCTTTATGCCTTTAATAAAAGTGTTTTTTCTTAGTTTTCTGCTGTCCGAAGAGACCTAATGAACTATAATGAAATCGAGGACACTGATATTTTGATGGAAAATGGGTGGAAGACCGTGTTTTTGGATGTTTTTCGCAAGCCGAAATATCCAATGTTGCTGTCGGCTGTGCTAGGTAATAACGAGAATTTTTTTAAGGGCGTGAGGGTCCCGCTTGATTTGCAGTTGTGGACGAATTTGACATAATTCCAGGTGTCGGAACTCAATTTTTAACGATCGGACTTGCTATTCAAATCGTGGCCACAACGAATTTGATCAATATTCATCATCACGGAAATTTGAATACGTTATTGATTTTTCTGTATGCGTCGACAAGTTGTAAGTTGGAATTGGGAAAAGTTTTGCATGCCTTATCGAAAACGTGCAGGGAAAACCATTTTTACCTTTCTTTTAAAATGTTTAAAAGCGCGTTGATTTGTTCATTTTTATTAGCAGCTACGAAAAGCGGTATATTTAGTCATTGCCGGCTACGTTTCGGCCGCAAAGTACAAACAACTGGATGGAAAATGGTGGATCACCAATGTCAACCTGACTTCCGGACTTTTTGGGGTCCCGATGATGGTTGTCTGGATGCTCAACAATTCCGTCGCTTGGGCCAATGAATCTACCCAGGTCTAAAATATAACTTGAAAATCAAAAAAGATACTTAGGCCCTCCCCTGGACTACCGTAGTCATCGTCCTAATTATCGCCCTGGCATTTGGGTATCCGCTGGCTATTGCTGGAGCGTTGGCTGGGAGGTAAATGATTTTTTTAAAGAAACCCTCAAGTATAATGACATTAATTTAATTCGCAATTTTCAGACACATCTCTTCGAAGTTTTCCCCGCCATGTCGAACAAGAACGGTGCCACGCCAGATTCCCGCGGCTCCCGTTTATTTGCATGGGATTGTTACGGCGTTTTTCGGTGGATTGTTGCCGTTCAGGTAGCGCAAACTAAAGGCTAGCAAAGACGTTATTAAAATGAAATAATTATAAAGCAAAAACCGGGCAAGTTAAAATGGCATTTTTAGGAATTGTCTCGTTTGATAGTAAAGACAAAATTAAGCAAAAACAAACCCGATGGTCAAAAGAGTATTTAGAAAAGTCGTGTCAGAAGGTTATATTAAAATGGATTTTTAGGAATTAGGAAAACTAAATTGTCAAATTTTTAGTTCAATTTTCCTCGAGCTCTACTACATCTTCTCGACAATCTGGGGCCGGGAGACGTACACCCTCTTCCATATGCTCAGCATCTCATTTGGAGTCGTCGTGGCGGTCAGTGAAAGGGGCAGTAATCGTCTCTCTCTCTCTCTCTCTCTCTCTCTCTCTCTCTCTCTCTCTCTCTCTATCTCTCTCTCCACTTCGTTCCCTCCTCATTTGCGGTTACGCCGTTCTGACTCACAATAGACTTGGGGGCTAGTGAAAGCGGAGTGTGACGTATCGAAGCCATTGCCGAGCAGGTTAAGGCGTTCAGTTTTGAGGAAGGACACAAGAAAACACAATGCTCTCTCTCTCTCTCTTGCCTGATCATTGATTCCGAACTAGGTGATAGGTTTCGTAAAAGCACGGCATCCACAGTGTACAGGGCGGAAATGGAGTGTAAGATATGTGCAGTTCCGGTATGACGAGGGTTGTGGCGGTGTATATAAATAGAATTTAACGATAAAATCTATTGGTCTATTTTTGTGTATTTTTGTTAATTCCTCTCAAAGAACTTTTAAGGGCCCCCTTTCTAGATTATTTCCATTTTTACAAAATTTATACATCTTAGAACATGCTTTTCTAACGGTATCGGGGTATCAGAAATAAAAATAAGTGTTAACGTACAGGTTTAAATTTAGGTCGTGGCATGCCTCTCGATCGCCCTCACCTATTTTCAACTGAACGTCGAGGACTATAGGTGGTGGTGGCGCTCGATATTTAATGGAGGGTGAGAAATCGTCAATTTTAAAATTTTAATAACGCAATTCTAAAATTTTTAGCTTTAGATTTAGATTTTTCAATCTAGGATCGGATACTTTTTACCGGTTGAGCTTGTTTTCACCCCCTAGCCAGTGACCCTAATTTTTCGGGGGAGAAACGACAGCGATACCTCCAAGATTTAGACGGAGATTTGGTAGATCGCGAGGATTTGCAAATTTTTTATAATAGCTTGTATTATAAGCGCTCTTATATACGTTTCTGAGGGCTAATTGTAACAGCATGTATCAACCACCAATTCTCGCAAGCTCGATCAGCGAAAAGCCCTTTGACGCCTAAAGGAGCTGTTTTTTGAAGGCCAGGGAGCTGTGAAGAGAGGGGAGAAAGTGAGGCAGGGAGAGAGAGAGAGAGAGAGAGAGAGAGAGAGAGAGAGAGAGAGAGAGCGCGAGAGAGAGGGAGAGAGCGGGAAAAAGATATATGGAGAGTGAAAGAGGCGGATGGATGGCAGCGCAAATACCGGTTCCGTCCCCCAGCACGCAGCTTCCTGCGCGTGCCCTGGGGGGGAAAAGCTGCGATGCGTGGAATTTTTGGCCGAATTCTTTCAGCATTTTTTAAATTTCGTATTTATTATTGATAAATTTTATATTCATTGTAATTGATAAAACGAGAACTACTATTTATCGCTCCTTCGAAATAGTACGACTACCTTAGTTTAAGCCTAAACCTAAAGCCTAAGCCGCAACTAATGATTTTTCGTACCTTCAGCTCCTCGGCCCTATTCATATTTGCCTACGGCGTCTACTTCTTGCGCCACCAGTCGAGCATGTCGGGCGCCGTTCAACTGACCGAATTTTTCACCCATTTATCGCTACTTTGCTATATCGCATTTCTATCGCTCGGTACCGTGTCGTATTTTGCGGCCGAGCGATTTGTGTTTTACATTTTTTCGCACGTGAAGACGGATTAAGGGCAGATTCGATTTGAGTATAAATTTTTTTAAATTGCTTACCATGTTCTTTGTGTGCTATGAAATAAGTTTTCTTATCAAGTATTTTGCAAGCTATGAGTCAGATTAAACGGGATTTTGCTTTGATAATTTCATTATTTGGTTCCCTTTTTGCAGTTCGTTCCGCTAATTATATTTTTCCGTTTTTGTACACAATTAATATATTTAAGGCCTTAAATGCCCATAGAAATGGTTTCCATGGCGATTGTGATGCAAATCGCACACGCTAATTAGCATATTCGGATGTTTACGGGGATATCCCCAGTGCCGTGCCAAAGATCGATCGATCCCCCCCCACCCCAACCCTTTAGGGGCAGGTGTGCCCTCCGGCGATTTGGCCTTGATATACGCGTCACTGCTTACTGACAACTCTCGCAAAATAGGCCTTTTTAAAGCAAAATAACGATTACGGTAATGGTGTTTTTTCAACTTTTCTAAAGTCATTTCAGTTAGTGTAGAGCCACAATTCCAAAAATTGCTTGAAATCCGGATCCATTCCGGCTCGATTTTCCTCCGATCGCCCCCGAAAATCCCACCTCAATCCGAGGCGCGTACACCCCAAAAAAACAAGTTGCTTGCCACCTGTTCCGTTTCTCTCTCTCTCTCTCTCTCTCTCTCTCTCTCTCCCTTTTTAATCTTCTGTCTTTTTGTTTGCCACCCTCAATTTAGGAGTGCTATCAGCTAGGCCTGCATTTTTTTGCGGAGGTCTCCAGGCCAATTCTTATCTGAAAATTTTGGAGGAACCAGCTGGCCAAAGGGGTGGCTGACCGGTACGAATTCTACTTCAGACGGTTTCGTATAATTTGTGCCTGTTTAAAACGTTCACGACATTTTTCTAGGCAATCTGTAACCCATCTGTCGCTTTTCTGAAAATGAAAGACTCACATGGGCGGAGTAAAACTTTTTATTTTGCCGGTAAGCATGAAAATTGGGCAAGAAATGTTTTGATTGCTTTCAGCTCTCCTGGCATTATTCGGAGCATGGGCAATTTACAAGCCGTTGCCCACGGGCTTTACCGAATATACCCTGGATCGGTTCGCAATGCATTTGATCGAACCGGCACTTCGGGTTACTTATTACTGGCCGGCTGACAAATTGGTGAGCCGAAAACTGCCGTAATCACATCCTAAATACTTCAAAAATCTGTGTTTTGGACTCGTCGTAATAGTAGAAATTTTGAGGTCTTGATGCATAGATATTTATAATTCAAAAAAGTGGTCTAACCGATTAAGCGACGGAATTTTTAGTGTCCCGATACAAGATGTCGGCTCACTTGGACACGCCTTGTCCTTAATGTGCTGGCAAGGTTAATTGACCCGAGGATTATGGTCGACTATCACCCGGAATTGAGCCTGGCTACGGAATCCTTCGATGGTGTTGAGGTTAGTCGTGCTCGAAAGATGCTCCGGCTTTCTCTCTCCCTCTCTCCCTCCCTCTCTCTTGCTCTGTCTCTCTTTCTCTCTCTCTCTCTCTCTCTCTCTCTCTCTGTCTTTCTCTCCGTCTAAGTCTCCAATAATTTTCAGGTACGAACCTACGTCCTTAAATTCAATCGTACCACCGATGGCGCGGTGTTTTTCGTGCATGGAGGTGGTTTTGTCCTTGGAAATACGGCGATATATGAAGGGCTGATGAGGCGAATGACAAAAATGTAAGTGGATATTGGGCATTAAGTCGTCAATAGAACAAAAACCGATACTTAGCCCGTAATTTGTTATTTTTCACTATTTTTCTAGATATTTTTTGATTATTCCAGTCCAAACTTTTTAAGGCTCGGCTCAGTCGTCGTATCCGTCAATTACCGTCTGGCTCCAGAAACGGTATATCCTGGAGGTTTAGAAGACGTCGAAAAGGCGCTCGTCCACTTTCTGGACAATGCCGAAAAGTATGGGGTAAGGGGTTTAAAGGTATCGGCAACTCATCAAAAAAAATAGGTGGATCCCGAACGCGTGGTGATAATGGGGGACTCGGCCGGTGGGAATCTGATTGCAGCTACCGCGCAACGGATGCGGAAACGGCCGGAATACCGGATAGCCGGACAGGTAGGAAGACGCCTGTGATCCATTACGCAAGCAAGTTAATATCCAACATTAATACAACCGTCTAAACGTACGTTGCGTAGTTCTCAAATTATGCGCCCTCGCTAACGCTCTCTCTCTCCCTCTCTCTCTCTCTATCTCTATCTCTACCGCACTTTGGCTGAATTTTAAAATTCTGAAACTGTTTTAGGTCCTCCTCTACCCGCTACTCCAATTCCACAATCTCCAAACTCAATCCTACCGCCGCTACCACCGGGACCTAAAGGGTTACGCGCTTGTTGGTAAGTCTTTCACTCGATTCCATATTCCTTAAAACCTAGACCCGATCTCCCTCTGCTACTACTACATGTGGTATGCCGGGATCGACATCTCGGTGACCCCGGAGTTGGCCCTAGCCGCAGTCTCGAATGGCCATATTTCGGATCGCGTCCGAAACACGACACTCGAGGAGCTGGATTTTTCGGAACTGCCGAAAAAGCCTAACCATAAGATTCGGAATGTGCTGGAGGTGGAGCGGAATTTTGAGGCCATGGTAGGTAAACCAATGTAGATTCTGAGAGCTAGCCTTACGGTTTGTTCTCCATAGAATAGAAAAATCTAGATCTTGCTGATTCAAACATGTGATCGGTCTTGAAAATTGGCAATTAGGCCACCAAAAACATTTATTATACTGCTTTTGACCTTGATCAGTTTTGAATTACGTTTTTAGTTGTTTTAGTTTTTCTTGCAATTTTTAAAACATGTAAATAATTAAAGGCTATAATGTGATTATATTTTAAGTAAACCTTAACTCCCTAAATATACCCATCAATCGTTATCTTCAGGCTCTCATCGAAGAACGTCTCCTCGACCCGTCATTCGTACCATTGGTCCAAAAAAATCTCACCGGCCTGCCCGAGACACTTATGGTCACCTGCGAATTTGATATTTTAAGGGATGAAGGTATTTTTGTCGCAATAAATTGTAATTATTCTAATTTCAGGTATCCTCTACCATCAACGACTTCTGAAAGCCGGTGTCAAATCCAAATGGATTCATTATGATAAGGGTTTCCACGCCATGCTCAACTTCCATAATGAACTTTATATAGCGCAAGAATCACTGCAAGAAATTGTTGATTGGAGTCTGGAAACAATCAGGTCTCGCTGAAATGAGTCAATTTTTCTATGTAAATTTAAGTGGTGTGTCGATTTTTCTGTTTTTTTTTTTGTTGTTGTAAATTTTCTGTTTATTGGTTTTTCTAAATTTTTCTCTACGACTAGCAATTGAATCAAATCCCAATTTTTGTTTTACTGATGCCACTGCCTCATTTTGTTACTTATACCTTTGGGTCCAAAAGATTTGCTTAATCCACCTAGTCTCTCCCTAGCATTTCCAAAGCTTTGCAGGGTATTTATTGAATGTAATTAAACTTGATAAATTATTTTTTAAGACCATATTGGCCGTCGTTTTTGCTTTTAATTAGAAAAGCTAAAATTCCAGCAAAGAAAACCGCACCTTGAGGGTCGTCAGAAGGCAGGATGTGTTTGCTCAAAAATCCTTTAATCTACACTTGAAAAGTTAGGTATCTTTAGAAAAAGCGAAGATCTCATAGAAAAATTATAAATTTGATTGCCCGAATGTTGAGGAATATTTAGCGTTTCGTATTTTTCTCTGGTAGCTAAAAATTCCGCACACCCCATTTCCTTCAAAACGCATACCTTTTCTAAATCTGTTTCCCATCCATGCAACCGTATCTAGTCTCAACTACCTATCCCCTCAAATTTTATCAAAGACCCCCCTTATCGGCTGGCCACTTTTCCAGCTGATCCTGGTGGCCCCCGACCATCCTTTTTTCCAAGTTTTATCTCGTCGTTCTCCCATTTTGCGGTTCCAGCCGGCTGCTGGAATGGCCACCTTGGGTTGAAAATTTCAGCGCGCAATGAAGGGTCGGAAATTTTTGGAAAAAAGGGAGGTATGGGAACGGTCTTGGGGATGTCTTTTCGGTTGGGCGCACCTAGGATACGTTCATTTGGGCATTGGCAAGACATTTTCTAGTGGGGTGGGCGCGTACTGGGTTCACTATTGTGAAGTTTCTTCAATATAATGCTTATGATGATTTGGATGAGGCTGGATGGGGCTTAGGCTTAGCTTCAGCGTGGGCTGGACCTCGCCTTGGGCTTAGGCTTAGGCTTGGGCTAGGCCTAGCCATGAACTTAGGCTTAGGCTTAAGCTTAGGCCTGGGTAGGCTTAGGCTTACAGTTAGGATTAAGACTCGCCTCAAAATCGGCTCATACGCTTAGGTTTAGGCTTGGGCTTAGGGCTGGGCTGAGACTTAAGCTCAAGCGTTGGCTTAGGCTTAGGTCGGGCTTGGCATACTGTAGCCCACTACGTGCCAAGGGTCCCGCGAAGCTTGCGAAGCGAAAAATTCCCTCGGAAACGTCAACGCTGACCTCAAATCACAATCGAAATTCCCCGAAAACATTCTCCAACCCGGGGTTCCGTAGAGATGAAAAACAAGAACTTGGCCTTCCCCTTCCGTTTACGGCTTTAGGCCAGAGCATACGGTTTCCGCTCAAATTGATTGGTCATTTGGCGAACTGTTATGTGGAGGAGAGGTGTTGGTTTGGCAAAACGGTCGTTTGGGCCACGAACACTTTCAGATTATCAGCCCCGAGTTGCGTTTTTCCATTTTGGTGTCTAACATTTTTAAATTTTAGTTTGATTCTTTGCCTAACATGGCTTTTGCCTAGATATCTATTTATTTTTGCATTTTTTCGGATTTGATCTTATTTGCATGAGGCCTACTGCTATTTGTCAAGAGAATTTATTAGCGAGATATTTGCAAAAAAAAATGGGGGCGTTGTCCCGCAATCGAGCATTTTGTGATTTTCTGGAAGTAGAACTAATAGAGCTTGAAAATTGCCATAGATTACATATTGCCAAAATTCGAGAGAGTGCTACTCTGTCACCAAATCCAGCTTTTCAGAAATTTTTCCGAAGCCCGTAACCTCACAAATTATTTTCCAAAAAAATATTTGTTAAGAATTTCAAGCTCTGTTACATCACAAATCTCCAAAACCGTTTAAAACTGCACCGAAAGGCCTCTCTTTTTGCTCGAGAGGCACTCATGGTAGGAGACGGTCACTAGTATTTTAATTTTATAAAATCAGGGGTAGCCATTCCGCAAAAAAGAACAACGGGGTCTTGCTCAAAATTTAATTCTTTATCGGATGAGCTAGGTCACGTAAGGTTTTGCCGATGACTCAAAAAAGCGCTCCTTGTTAGACAAATATAGCCTAGTGACAATCGTTCAACCAATGCATCAACAACATACGCTACTTCACTGTAGTCCACCTCAAATCGTTCTCTTTCGGTATTTTCCATACCACCGTTCGACCCACCCCGCCAGTCCCCGGGCAGCTAATTTGTCAAAATAGGATTCCCCCTGTGTTTTTATGAAGTGCGGAGGTGGTGGCGAGGCATAAGAAATTGGAGAAAAATAGAAAGAAAAAACCCTGAGCTTTCCCGGAGACGCTCAAGGTCATCAACCCGAGAGGGTGGCATGAGGAAACTCTATAGACCATCCTCAAAAATGAGGGAAATCCCGAAAAATCGGGGATATCCCGAAAAGACAAAGAGGGAAGGGGGACTGTCGAGAATGGTCAGGCTGCCCGGAGTGCCCAAAATGCGATAAAATCTTCGATCTAGGAGGTCGGAAAGGATGGTTTTTTGAGCAGTCTTGTGCCTGTCCCGTGGCCGACGGCCGGAATTGGAGCTGTCGGGCGGCTAGCTCGGCTAGCTAGCATTCCTGGCAGTTCTCGGTCAAATCACATCCTTGACAAATGTGCAGCGTTTTATCACACTTCCGCTTATGGCTAAACATTTTTTTTGAAAACCGATAGGTGCTAGAAATGTAAAATAGAGATTCAGTTAAAAACCATAAAACTTCACGTGCTAATTATTTTTGCCATTTGTATATTCCTATAGAAATTGGCGCGGAGTACCTTTAATTGAAAAAAAAACCTCTGCAGCGGTCTGTTTCTAAAGATACTCGAAAACCAGGCAAAATCTGTTGACAGTACCCAAGACTCCCATTTAATAGGGCCACTTTTGAGCAGCCGGTTTGGGTTGTTTTCCCAATCGTTGCAAGGAACGTATGCAGATGCTCAAGTTTTCTGACATTCCTTACTGGATACCTGGGTCAACGCTGCTAGAGTTGTGCTTAGAAAAACCCCCCGAACCATCCCGCATTCCTCCGATCAGCGGGTGGTCCATTTCGCGGGGATCAGCCGCTGGGGGGCGGCTGGTTTTGAACTCCGTAACTTGACGGGTTTTTGCGGATATTTTCCCGTGACCTTTGGCTTACTTTTTGTGGGCCGAATCCAGTGGGATTTGCAGCGCTCTATAGAAGTTCTATTCTTGAAGCCGCACTTTCCGAAATGTACTTTTCCGGGGTTGGACTGGCATGGAATCGATCAATTTATCTATATCTTGTTTGATTTTCATAATAATAATCTTATTTTTTTTCCTTAAAATTGATCGATCTAAAAATCTGCATTACCGGGTCTGTCCAATTATTTAAATTTTTGCCCGCACGCTGAGTTTGAACCGCGAGAACTTAACTCCAATTTTGCTTACCGTTATCAGATGTAACTTGAACCGGTTACACAGCTTATAAAATGTCAAATACCCTAAAAAACGATTTTTAAGATCCTAAAAAATACGATATTACGCTGCTGGTGACGAAATCTTTGGCTTTATGCCAACTTTCCTCACCCAAATCCCTCCTCCGTTTTTTGACACCCAAAAAAGAACATTGTTGGCCTCCCCAAAACAGTAGTGTAGTAAAGTACAGTAACACTCTTTTTGATTGATTGTGCTAGCCATGCGCGTCCCGCAGCGAGGTTGTACTTTCCGAAAATGGCGGCATATCCGCCGGCATAGCCCGAAATCCCGCGGGAAACTCCTTGAGACGCCTCCCGAAAAACATCAACCCACCCAATTTCCCTATTCTGACGGGAAGACGCGACGACAACAGAAACAGTGCATGCACAAAATACTCCAAAAATCCCCCCTGACTTGACGTCTGACCCTGAATTTACCCCTCGCTGCCGCTGCTGCTAACGTTTTAATGGAGTTGGCCGTGGGCCCCGGTGAGTATTTTTGAGCGTAGATTTGTTTATCTCGAACATTTGAGTTGAATTAAGCCAATTTTACGGCGTTGCAAGGTCGCGTAATTTTTGTTTGGAGTGCAAAAATTTGCTTTTAAGCGGGTTTTCGGGTTTTATTTTAATTTTACCAAACACTTCTAACTTCTAAGAAAAGTAACAACATATTTAAGATACTTAGCGCTTTAAAAATGCATCCCTAAGGTTTAGAAACTGCGTCTCGACTTCCTAGAGTGTGTTGTCGAACCCGTGCGCTTTTTGGGGGCAACATTCGGCATTTTAAAAGGGCTTTAACGTGTTTTTCGAATTTTGCCACACACTGCTAAACTAGAAATTTCCGTTTGAGGTATTGTTGGCCCGACAAATATTTATTAGAGGTCGAACGAAGATTTTAGAGGAAAACGGCCAGAGTCACTTTTTCCGCGTTTAAGTGATAAGAAAAACCATCTAGCGAAACCTGGCAGCTAGCAAAGCCCTCAAAAACCCGAAGAATAGTTCCAAATACCAACTCCTAGACTTTACTCGAGACCAGCAAGCACTTTAAGAAAATTCCGCCACACACCTCATGACCATTCTGATTCCAGACTCTAACCGTTTTGACCTTGACGGCTCAAGAGTTAAATTTGGGCTCCCAAACCCCGTTGAATAGCGATTGTCCGGTTGCAGGCTGAGGTGTTTTAAGTGTCAGCCAGAGAAAGAGAGAGAGAGAGAGAGAGAGAGAGAGAGAGAGAAAGAGAGAGAGAGAGAGAGAGATGGAGAGAGAGTAAAAAAGATAGAGAACAAATCGGTTCGGTCTTTCAAGGGGTTCCCGGCACATTTATCCATACCCTGCTGCACTTAAGTTTTTTCGCGCCACCGGATGTCA